GCAACATGCTGAATTCGCATTGTCAAAGCCTGCCACCATACATAAGTCACAAATTTTAGGTATATCCGAGTGCATTTTAAAATCTATACATATATACTCGCAACAAGTGAGACAATAATCAAAATTAAAATAATTTATGATATCATTTAACTTAGAAATTAAAACTTACCATAACTTTGGTAGTTAGCGAGGACATGACTAACAATGTTGTAAGCATCTCCATAAACGAACTTGGATCCCTCGAGGTTGTTGCTTAGTTCTGTAATTAGGCTCTTCAATTGGAGATTAAATGATTGAGCTAATTGATTAGGGAGTGCAACACAATCATCTCCAGCTGATGGGTTCGTATCCCTCTCGTAAGGTATACAACCAATTGGTCCAACATTTACTACTACTATCTTTCTTGCTCCCATATCGTAAAGTCTCTGTTCAAAACCACACGAACCAAAATCAGCTTATTAATTTAAGTTATTGTCTAGGAACAATGTACTAGTCCATCACTAGGATTCACTGCCATAAATAACGTATGTGAAGTAGTAACGTGACAATTAAATGCAGAGTTTTATTAGACACATAAAGCATAATGTGAATTAAACATTTTTACATAATTACATTTACCCTATTTTGGAGTGTGGTGATTTAGTACTCGTAATAAAGATTGTACGTCTTTTAACAACAAACCACTGTATTGAAGAGGGATATGATATTCACACATTATTATGATTAGTTAATTAAAAAAAAAATGTAACCGTACGTACTAAACATTAATTAACATACAGATTAACAAGTGAACATGTCACACATTTTGTTGACGTTTAACTTTGACAATACTTATCATTTCTCAAGATAGTCATTTTTCATTTTTGTGGATGTTTAACTTTGTCAATAATAGTCACATATCTTACCGTAAGTTGTATTCTGTATTTTGATATCATAGCAGCAACAAAAGCATCAGGAGACACCAACTCCTGCTCTAGTTTAGAAACTAGTGGAGTTAAGTAATTGTTGATGAAGTCATTGGAACCCATTGTTACTGAAAACAAGGCTTTATTTATAAGCTCATTTGCTGCATCTTCTCCTATACTGTAGATAATATCTTGCTTTGTGTTTGCAAAGTTGTCTAATTGCGCGTCAAAATTCAATCTCCCAACCTGAAACATATCACATTAGGAAAAATACAAGTTTATCATCTTAATAAACAAATTTAAAATCTAGCAATAATACATGTAGCCATTATATATATTGCAATGTAGAATAGAATTAAAAAGTCGTCGCATTTTTTAAAATAATATGTTATTGACGATTATGAGATCGTTAATTTTGTATGAGATTGAGTAAAAAGAAAAAAGAGGTCTTACAAAAATGGCGCCGGTGTGGTTGAGAATGCCACCACCACCAGAAGCATAATTAACTCCTTGCATAATCACACTCCCTTTTGTGCTTGGAGCCAAGTAAGGTGGGTTAAATCCTCCTGCTAATCCCAGCTGCTGGCCTAAATTCACATAATAATAACAAATAAATAAATAAATAGATTTGACTCAGATAAGCACATTGTTATGTGTGAATAATCTAGAAAGAAATTTCATAACTATAAACTTAATGACATTTTAAATACAAGGTAACTAGTGGAAACAAGCAACAAAATATGTAACACTTTTACTCACACATGTGCCCATATTGTACTATGCACAATAATAAAGTAACATAAGTAGAGAACATGACAATGGTATATGCAGATGATATTTCATAGTTACGTATATTTAAAAGATACAAATTTAGCATATGATGTGTTTTTTCCTTTTAAAGTCAATGATATGGTATACTTTTATAGTAGGAAGGCCTTAAATTCCTGCACAATCTTCCTAAAAACACGTGAAGATTAGGACAAATGAAAGCCAAGTGGTTTTGGTCATAACTTCTCTAGGAAAAACAGAGGAAAAACTACATTTTGTAGTATGTAGAACTTACCTATGATATCAACAATGGTACGTCCATTGGTGTATCTTCCCGTCGGCCTTCCGAAATCGATACCATTAGGCACGTAATTCGCCTTCGATAACGATATAATGTAGTTGTTATTTCCCGCATCTACAAGTGAATCTCCGAACACAAAACTTGATATTGCTCCCTCTACTCCATTTCGACTAAGCATACTTAAAGAAACGATCATTATTAAAATAAAAGCTTGTTGTTTATTCGAATGAATGCCCATTTTTACTATACAACAAGATTGAAGGAAAACTAAGTTTGGTTTTGAGTATTTTTTCACAATTGAATGATGATAAGTTAATAATGTTAAGGCATTTATTTATATAGGAGAAAAAAAAAAGTTAAGAGTGAATTTTTTTTGTAAAGAAAGTAATAAAGGCATTGAATGCTACCCTGCAAAATCTAACTCCCAACCCCGTGAAAGTCATCCCAACAAATGCAATTGGGCATTAACAGAAGATACAATTTGATGTAAAATTTAATATAAAAGGTTGGCGTACATATAATATATACATACATGAATTTTTATATAAATATTGTATGATTTACTAGAACATACGGAGTACTTGCTAGCTAAGTAGCTAAACAGAATATACATGAACTTAATAAATTGATTTTGGTTTAAATATTTTTTTAATGTACCGACCAACTAACATAGTTACTGATGATCCTCAACTGGCTAATTCTGACGCTCATCTTGCGCAGGAGATTGGGTTTTCTTCTTTGATTTTATGTCAAGACTTAGCATAGGTAACAGTCTAACTGTCTAAGAGATAAAGACATAGCTTGATCCGTATTTGACCCGAATAATTTAATTTATCCCGATACTTCAATTTCTATCAATTGTTGCATTGTTCCAACCAGTTCCTCAGCTATATACTCTCTAGTTCACTGAGTTTACTTCATCTTTTACCATAGTTTACCCTACTTTCAATCATTTTTACATCTATAGGTATACAATTTGAAAGTCTTGGTGTTCTAACTTTTTTGAGCTTATGAACAACTTCATTTATGTGATCATGTACGATCCATTTATTATATGTACAGCTCAATTTATTTTATTTTGCATGAATTGAAAGTTCATAAAAGTAAACTAAATAGTTAAATAGTTGTAGAGTATACTACACTACTACTACTTTCTACTGCACTGTCTACAGTGTATAATATACAGTAGTGTATACTAGTAGAATTATTGGATTCACAATAAATTTCATGAATCTCTCCAGTTGTAGGATTTAAGTCGGAGTGAAGAGACAGATAAATTTCTTAAATTGGACCTACCAAACAATTTTTTTACTTTTCCAATTATATATGTATATTTCTATTTTAATTTAGCTGTTGTGTTTGCCCATGCATTATGCCTTTATTATTATTATTATTTTAGGTTATTGGTCACATGTGATTTCCCTTCTTTGCCTTCACAAATCACATAGAGTCCATATTACCTTGATTAAAAGTATTATTGTTGAGCCAAATCTTTTAGGAAGGATTTTGGTCTCATAATAATTGGATTGGAAATAGATATTGTAAATAATGTAAAGAAACCCATTTTATACGACAAACAAGCTAAGCGAATGTACGTAAAGAAACGATAGTATGGATTGGATTGGATTGGATTTGAGTCTTATACTCTTATTTTAGTGAAAGAGTCTTAGCATATCGGATTTGATTTGAATCTTATAATCTTATCTTAGGATATCGGTATCTAATGTTGTTTATTTCATGTTTTTTTTACAATTCAATATCAGCAATATAATGAGTAAATTTTTATATTCATTCCTTCATATCTATAAACTCTATCTCATTTTTCTCTTAACAAAAAACATATGATAAAAAAGCGTGTTATTTTTTTTAACAATTTTTCTATTAACCGCATGTGCATCTTTACACATAGGCTGACAAACTAGTTCAATTCATTTGAATGTCAGATCAATTTTTAGTTGGAATTAAAATCGGCTCATATATTTTTGTAATTTTGTGTCCAATTAATCGCATATTGAATAATCCAATAAGATCAGTTTTAAACTGTTCTAGTCATTATTTGAAATTTTACCCAACAATTTCCAAATCCTCCATACCCCAACCCTAGTCCCTGCAGGAACACATTACATATCTTATTTGTTGAATCAAATGCATTTAAATTGTTGGGGGTTGAGATTTGCCACATTTCCTCTTTTTTCTTTTTTTTTTTTTAAAAAAAAAAACAATTAAAAAAAATCACATTTATTCATTCTAATTAATTTATTTGGCATTTGATCAGCGCATATCGTGCTGCAACATTATTAAAGTTTCTTTTTATTTTATATTTTTTACATTTTGACAGAACATATAAAGTTAAATTATATGAGAGAATTATTAAGGTTATCATATTGGTCAATTTTTACAGCTCTACGTACTGCAATATTCTTTACAAAACAACACACTATAGAAATTAATGCAATATTGAGAAGAATGCTGGACACATTTTCTGCCATGTAAAATCATTTAGATTATTCATTTTAAAAAGTGGAGTACAGGATAAAATAAGTGCATTATGATTTTATTTATCTTTGGAGGTTAAATACTGTAGAGCAGTAGTACTTACTCAACAACCAGCAACTACTTTGGTACAACAATTACTTTGGTAAGAAATTCATAATAATGTAACAATTATGTTTATGACCCTACTCTATGCTATAACCGTTAAAAGGTTAAATGTACGAGTAATTATCTGTAAATATGTTGTTATGGCGGCTTTGGTAAGTGCGAATAACTATTGATTCGTACACTGCCACAAATAAATACAAGCCGACATCTAACCTTAGGTTTTTTTTTTAACACCTCTAATACTTTGACCAACTAAGCTATATAGTAGCGTATATTCACATTGTCAAGTGAATTGATTAAGTGTAACTCCGTCACTCATAGAACCGCGCGTCTAAGCACATTGATACTACATTAATGATCAAGTTAGAAAGTTTATCAAAAATTATAGGCTAAGCTAACTGCTATTGATTCTTGGCAATGTCAACTTCATCAAGGTTAGATTGGTATTTCCTGTCAATATATATAAGCTTGCAAAATTTTCCATAGTATTTACAACACCCTTTTGAGACTAATTACAGAGTTTTATAAGCTCTACCAATAGCGAGCTTAAGCTATATGATCCCCAGAATAACATAAACAAAACAGAATAAACATATTCAGCATTACCCGAAGTTGAATGATTAGCATTGCGGTTTCTCTTTGAGATCTGCAATAGGAACATAAACCACCTTTTCTTTAGTCAAGCTTAGGTCGTCTGGTTCATTGTTTGTGACCTTCTGAATTGTCGATAAAGTTTGTTTCAACTTCTGAATCTTTGCTTCAATCCAGCATACATGCTCCATCAGCTTTTCCGCGCTTTGTCTTTGAAGTGGCTCTGTTTTACGTTTAACTCTTTTATTCTGACCACTTTTAGCCTTCAAGTATAAAAGGTGCTTCTTCAAGCTCATGTCATCACTTAGCTCCGTATTAGCCTGTTCCATCACCAAACGAAAGGCTCTATAACTTATATCTAATGACAAGTTTGACAACTAACTATACTGGCTGCTACAGCTCAAATATATCAAGATCATATGATTATTAGCAAAACATTGTCAGTTAAAACTCCCAGCCTTTTATTTCCCAGAAACTGCACAATGGTAACATCGAAAACAAGAAAAACCCAACAATCATTTCAGGATCTTAAACAGGCTAGTCTTCCTCAGATAATTTTGGTGTTCTATAAATGTAATACAGCCTCTTCAGAAAAACAGCACAATGTTCTAGTTCTACAACTGTATGAGTAGACGTGTAGTGCCGTCTATCATCAAGTATGTAGTTTCATGACCTTGTTCAACAAAAAGATAGGAAAAACTTGATGCTAATAGACTGAAGTAGAAGTCAATGTATAAGACAAGCATCAACAAAACTAGCTAGCTTGTTTCCAATACCTATACGGCTATACATTACAGCACACAATATTGATAGGACCATATAGTCCATTATTAAAAAAAAAAAAAAAAAAAAAAAAAAAAAAAAAAAAAAAAAAAAAAAAACTATGAATACACCAGTATGTCAGAATTAAAACATGAACGATGATGTCTAGTTTTTAAAAAGTTGCAAAGGCATTTCAATCCATGAAATCCCAAGTGCAAGACGAGGTTGCCACTTCTAGCATGCTACTGGTTTGTAAAAAACAAAGAGAAAAAATGCAATAGGTTAAAACATTACCTTGGTACAACCAAGCGAAGCTTTCATCAATTTCTGCTTCTTTGAAGGGCTAAGCAAAGATGTTAGATTAGCTTTCCAGCTGACTTTCTTCAATCGTTTCTTCGTATGGATTAAAATGGGTGGGGAGGAACAATTAGAAACAACCTCAGTTGTTTTACCAATTTCTGTATCAGATTTCTTGGGAGAGTGGTCCAAACCTCTTTCTCTCTGCCGAACAAACAAAATTTAGGTTAATTAGTTTATGTGACACAAACAAATAATAGTGACTAGAGGTATAGGCTACTTCATCTAAATGAATAATGTAACGGTAAAATAAGAAAGGAAGTTTAATCATGAACCCTCCCCTTCCCCTCCAATTAACATCTTGAGGTGGTATTGCTGCCAATATCATTAGTTCATTACTAAAAGATACACACAGAAAAGACTAAACCTAAATGATCCAAGAGAAACAGAGCAAGAGCAGAAGCCTACAACAAGATAGATTTAAGAGAATATTTACCACCTTTTTATTCTTTAGAGCCATGTAGCGTGCATTTTTGAACCACTTGTTCACCTGTACATAGCCCAATCAGATCAGCAATTATAAATTCACCAAAAAATGCTAATGGTTTCAATTAGCAGGGATGTAAGGAGTGAGGAGAAGGAAAATCTGAGCCTAAATATATGTTACTCCCTCATTTACATAGACCACATTTATCTTTGGGGGCAAAAAAAAAAAAAAATTAAGAAACTCCACAACCTTAAACACTAAGTGATCCAGTAGATGTACACGTGATAATATAGGAACATTGATGCTAAATTTAACATGAAATATATTATCCTTAGAGCAGTGCTTCATACAATTCCAGTAAATATAATAATGTACGTTTATGGTTAAAATTGACAAGATTGGCACAAAGAATGTAGCTTGTGTTTAGGAGATGATATCTTACCTTTTAATTGGATGGATAAATGAGAAGGTAAGTAGCTAGGTGGATGGAGTAATTGTTAACATTTGAAAATACAATGCAACTTAAAGAGTAAAGACTCGATTCTTTTCCTCATCGAGGGTAATAGTTCTTTTTACCTTTGCATACTCAAGACCCACTAACTCTGATAAATTTTTCTTAAAATCTCTGGACGGAAGCTCATTCTCAGAAAATGCCTGACGAAGTTTCTGAAACATCAAACAGAATCAGCACACTGACGCAAATCAAGGACACCAGGTTTCTTGTATGTGCCTCCATGATATTTATATTGTCTCCAGGATAATGCCAGAGGGAAGGGAGAAGATGAAGGAACCAATACCTGCACAGCGTCACTAGGAATCCTTGAGAGAGGCTTTTTAGCTTTTGCAAATGGAAGGTGATTGTTACCCACTTCCAGATTTTGCAGATCTGAATGTTTAGCTTCACTTTCACACAAAGTCATAAGGGTACTAGCAACATCACTCTCCTTTTCCCTCCGCCTTCTTTTAGAAGGGCCCCAATCTTCATCTTCGCTTACCATATCACCTGTAGTAGTATCCTTCCCAAACATTTCCTGCAAGCAGGAGAAAGGTTATGGTCGATAGCTGAATCACTTGTTCATTTTGTTAACCCCAAAAGGGGTTAAAAAAATGGTGACGCAATCTTGCACACATCATGACTTACATAAAGGATCATGACAGTGATGGATTAACCTTGATACAAAAAATAGAGCAATAACATATAAAACAGAGGATAATAATCCTTCATACAATGAAGAACAAAATCATACATAGAAAAGGGCTGGGAGAATCAGGCAGAATATGGATCGACAAGGTCAATGATAACCATATTTATTTTTTTATTTTATTTTTTTTAATCGAATCTTTATGTACATGCAAACAGAAAAAATATCAGAAATTAATTTCATAAGGAGCTAAGGACAGCATTAATATCCATATATCATGAAGCAAATTCACATTTGTTTTAGTTGGGAAACATTCAAATATAAACAAGCCTGAGACAATATAATCAACTACTTTGTAATAAGTTAATTAACTAACTTATATCCATTTTATAGTATTTATATTAATATCATTAACTATTAAACAAGTGATAAGTGTTTTAAAAAGTCCCATGGCCTACCTTGGCCCCTCAAAACTCATTAATGCTTGAGATTGCACAGCAACTTATCCTCCCTCTCCCAATATCTTGTTCTTCTAATTCCAAGATTGTCAGTTATTAATAAGAGGACGTTGTAATTAGAGTAAAAACATCACAATTGTCATATCCAAATTTTGCAATTAGCTTCTAGAGTGAGCTGTATTTTAGAAAGGCAGGGAGCTCAAAATCAAGATAAAATAACATATCCTAGGTAGATGTAGCCAAACTTCTTATTTCATCTTCATACAATTAGCAAACAGTGCTTTTAGATTTTAAACCTTAAACAATGGAATTTAGAACTACTTACGTCATAGAGCTTTATATAATCCACAGCACATCGCTTCCTGGGACCACTAGTACATTCATTTTCATTAGATACTGTAGCACATTTTTGATGCAACGAAGCAATATCGCTGAATACTCCATCTCTTCCGGAGAATCCAGATTCTGAGAGAACTTCACTCTCTAATGAGCAACAAGAGCTGCTAGTACTGCTTTTCTCATGTGAATCACTATCCTCCATACCACACCAATTACTGGTATCATTTTCATCCCTGTCAGGATCATAATCATTATCATCAGACTCATCATCAGGCCACTCTTCTTCAGGGTGTAAATCTCTGGTCCCGACACCAGATAAATTTGCTTCTTCTTTAAAAATATCCTACATAAACCCCAATAGGAATTATGTCTCATATGTACTAACATGAGCCAAAGACCAACACGAAATCAAAGCCTTCTGCAATTACCAACCTGCCAAGTGCTATCAGCAGAGAATTGAGTTCCGAGATGCGCATTTGTTGCTTCTAATATTTCCATCTTAGAATCACAATATTTACAAAACCAGCCTTCGTCTTCAGGAGGAACTTCACAGGTGAAATAATAAAAAAAAATCCATGGCATAAGTTCACAAAATAGCTAGTCAAATTCCAAGCAATGGACAAAGAGCTTACTATCTATTGTCGCCAAAGGGGGATCAATGCATTTTTGATGAAAAGCACAATTGCACGTGCCATCACATAATATTATATCATTATCCTCTGAAACATCCTGAGATTTGCACTTTTTGCAAAAAATCTACAAGAAATAATCCAAAAAAATTAATCTAAGATTTGGTCACAAGAGATAACCTGCTGAAGAAGAATATAGAAACACATCATCATGAAAACAAGAATAAATGGCATGAAGCTTTCATTCTCCACATCAATGAAGATCAGGAAACATATATATATATATATATGTATATATATCCTAGCAATGAAGATCAGAGAGTCAGAGATAGCACCCTAATGTCCATTGACAGATAAAAAATTCATGAATTGTAACATTGATTCAATGATAGTTGATGGCTTCTGTTTTTTAATTGTTTATAGGTCAACTCATCTAGAAACATAGTAATTGCCAACAAAGTAAGATAGACATGCATACTTACATGTTCATGATGGACAGAACCATCTGGGGAAATCAAAGAATCATCAATCTTCCCAACAGAGGCAAGTAAATCCAACTGGTGAATTGTATCCCGAATTCCAAGCTTACATTTCAGTATCTGATTCATGGCTCTCTGTAACTCCTTTTCTGGCTTAATCTTTTCTCGACTGTTAACAAACAGAATATGTTAATTATGCTATAGATTTTTAACATTATTAATATGATGAAAAGGAAAAGGACAGAGTGGTAGGGGTGAAGGACAGTTTTGTACTATTCAACTTGAACCAAAGATGGTGAATTAGTGATCACTCAACGTCTATCAAACGGAAATCAGTGTCCAAAAATATAAATGGTAAAATAAGCATCATAATTCAAGATCACTCAAAATATAGGAGGGAACTGACACCTCCAATTCATAAGCTAGATAAGCAATAATTTCAATTCCAGAAGAACCAAAATTATTTTTTTTTAAAAAAAAAAAAAAAAAAAAAAGAAAAAAAAACCTTCAACACCCTCAGTGACACATAAACAGTATTTATCATGAGCAATCTGAAGTGGCAGGAATCAGGAAGATTAAGGCTAAGTGACCCAACTTGTCAGCCATTATCTGCAACATCTATAAGTTAAGAAAGGGATCTGGGGAGCTTTAAATTACAGTGTCCGCATCAACCATAAGGTTACTGAGGTAAAATTAGGTCTCTAAGATATAACTATGGATGTTTGCCTACATAATGATATCCTAAATCTTTTCCCATTTGCAAACTAAAAGTTTGCATTATTACAAACAACACCCTTATGGATTCACTTTGTATTATTTCATAGTTCATACCATCTTACTGTGATAATTTTTTTTTTTAGTATAGGTTATTCTAACAATATATAATACAAAAAAACATTGTGTAATGACAAATAAACATTCCAAATACAATACTAATACTTAAAAAAGGTCCCATATACCTCAAATCTAACAAGGAAATGTGTCGAGTGTGGAAGTACAAGGAACAAAAAATGGCCTAAAAAAAAGTAATAAAAATTATCACACAAATATGCATCTATTTCTTAAACAAAACTATGGAACATTTACCAGCCTCTCTATTCCAAATTGCCTTTTCTATGTACAAGAATTTGAGTATCCAACAGTGCAATTAGCAGATTTGAAAACTATGATGTAAAGACTCAATAAGCCATAAGGTATCAGCTCCAACTTAAGAATATGGTGATATATATATATATATATGAAAGAAACAGAGCTACACAGTGAACCTAATAGAAAATTTTAAAAGGAGATTCAATCAAACAGGCACAAAAATCAAATATCATCCAGAAACATCGAATGCTCCACCAATTACTTCTCAGATTTGAGAAGTACATCATTTAACTGAATAGGAGAAGACACTTCTAGACTATATCTTAGCAAGAGATAGCAAGTTTGAATTCTAGTATACCTAGAATAACTGAAAGGACCAACTCAAAGATGAGCTTTCTTGTTTGGCCACTAAGAAAAAAACTCACAGCAAAAAGCCCAACTTTCAATAAACCCTGAATGTAACTATGCTAAGACCTAATGTGTCGATCCTCTACTGTGACACCTATCCTAGGTATTTACAAAAAGAGGAAGAAGAAAAGCCAGGAAGTTGAATTTGGTTTGTTAAACTCAAATAGACTACTATGTAAACTGACAGGCAATGACATGGAACACTAAACACACTACAAGTCTACAGCATACAGGAAACTAACTGTTTTAGCTGCTATTGATTGTTCATCATGCTCCAGACAGCAGGTTCAAGGGTGGTGATTCATGATGCTTTATGCCTCACCATAATTGATTATAAAGCAAAATACATGCACAGAAATTAATAGATCCTGATTTCTGCAAGATGGTATATGTTTCTTCAATCACAGAACTAAATGTTCAAAAGTAAGATGCTTCCGGTACCTCTGACCTTTCCAACCTTCTCCCACGTAAGCATCAATGAGACTTTGTTCTAGCTTCATTTTAACCAAAAGGTATCTAGCTCTTCTCTGCAGTTGTGCAGCTTCATCTAGAGCAACCTTATCTTTCTTTCTCTTCTGTTTTCTCATTCTCTTCAAACTTACACTTTGTGAGCCCCCACTGTCATTTTTACCTTTAGAACTTGAGCATAAAGATCGATCACCCCGACTCTCTTCACAACTCTTCTTCTTAGAAGAATCAACTCGATGGCCTTTGGAAACATCTGGTTTATGAATCAATCTCCTTCTGATGGATTCAGCCTTCCTTTTCTGATCTGATTGCTTCAGCAGCTGCTTGCCAGGGCTCACTACCAAAGAAGAGAATTCCAATTTTCTTTTCTTATTGAGCTTCTTAAGCACCCCATTTCGCATTTGCGCCAACGTTTTCATCTTCAGCTTAGATTTAACAGATTTAGGATACAAGCCTAATTCTAAAAGGCACAATTTTCCTCCACCTCCAAGCATAACATTCCCAACAACAAAGGAACTGCAAATGCAACAATATCGTCATGAATAAACAAGCCTAAGTAAATCAAATCTCCAAAGTAATCTATTCAGTTTGACCTCCATTAAATGCATCATAGCCAAATATCTCAGGAAATGACAAAATTGTTTTGGGCAAACAAAATTTAGTTTCCAGTTCTAGGCATTATATGCTGCTATCAGATAACTTGCTATAATGTAAAAACGCAAATTAGATCCTACACGCGAGAGCATGATGCGCATCCTATTGTGTAATCCAATTCTCAAAGGAACATACAGTGGCAAAGATTTGAAAAAGAATTAACCCAATTAACTTCCCTAAAAATCACAATATAACATTTAGCAGAAAGACTGATAGTATACCCATCTAACTAATAACCCAAACAATTAATCTAAAAATTTGCAAGATTATAAAAACTGGATTTTTCTTCAATTTCCTTAAAACCCAAATCAGAAATACTTTGTGCAATGCATAATAATCTCCATTTTCAAGATGGTGAAAGATCATATACATAATTTAATGCTCAAAATTCCAACCAATATAATATAATTATCAACGAATTCTTCAGAAAAATAGCATACCTGAAATCATGAGTAGAAATTTGGTTGGAACCTTACCAACCTTGAATTTTAATTCCTTTTTTCTGAAGCATGTCAAATTCTGCGACACAAAGAATGGAAAATGAGCTCTAAATTTTTAAAATTTAGAACCCTCAATATTTAAAAAAATATTTTATGAAACATAGTTTAATAAGTGTTTCTGTTAATCTTAATCTAAAAATGTACGCTGATAAATTTTCACTCAAATTCTCCTTTGTTGAAGCACTTCCCTTTACCCTTCCCCTCAACCGCAAGCATGAATCTTTGACTTTTAACAAATTTAAAATTGGGGTGATTTGGTTTTACTTTTAACATCCCAAACTCCACGACCCAAATAGAAACTTCTGGTAACCGGATACCCGGATACTAAATTATGAATTTCGAACCAGAATGGTTAAGGTAAGTATACGGAAACGCTGAATATTTACGGTTTTTAAGTCGTCTTATAAGAAGTTAAAAGTACTCCGTAAAATAAAATGTGAAATAAAAAAACGGAGTAAATTCATTGAATAACGATTAATGTGTAATTTGGTCACTCATTTTAAAATTAAAATCAATTCATAAAATATACTCTGTATCAAATGTTTATTTGGTTAAATGAATGTAGAAAATACAAATTCATTGGAAATTTATACGCATTTCCTTTGAAAATGTTAATTATTGTTGGAAAAATTAGAAATAATAATCTCAACTTTCATCAATTTTGCTACAATAATCCCAACTTTGGATTATTCTAGAATAATCTAAACTTTGGGGATTCCTCTTTTTCTTCAATCTCAAACCGGTCAACAAAAGTCAATGACCTATTATATCAGGTCACTTGACACGTGTCGAGTTCTAAATTTCTAATTGGTCCAAAAAATAAAAAATAAAAAAATCAAATTTTTTTTTAGAAAAACCACCCAGCCTCGTCGGACCCCATGCAACCACCGCCCTTGTCGCCGCCAGCCCAGCCACCACCTCGTGGGACCCTCACGCAACCATCACCGTACCCTAGTCGCTGCTCCAGCCACTACCATCTAAACCACCATCCCCCTCCCTGAAACCTCCATGCAACCACCAACAAAACCCTCCCAATTCCACTGTCGCCGTCTTCCTCCCTCCTCAAATCCACCACCTCAAAACCCGAATCCACCACCTTCGAAGCCCCAAATCACCAACGAAACCCCATCCACTGCCAAAAACCCCCAATCGTTCCTCCCACTAGCCCGAAACCCTAAGAAGCTAGGGTTTTCGACGGTGGAGAGGAGTTTTAGGGGGTTTTCGGGAGTGGGAGGCGATTTGAGTGAAGGAGATCGGGGGAAAAGGAGAAACGGCGAGTGGGGAGAGGTTTCGTGGGTGGGGGAAGGAAGGGGGAGGTGTTTCGGCGGGTGGGGAGTGGTTGTCGGGGGGTGGGGCGGTTTTTGGGCTGGGGTGGGGGTGGTTTGGGTGGGGGGCTGGTGGTTAAGAGGGAAGGGAGGTGGGTTTAAGTTTTGTTTTTTTTTTTTAATTTTCAAATTTTTTTTAATTTTTTTTAATTTTAGACTATTCATGTGCTGACACGTGGCTTTTTTTAAAAAAAAAAAAAAAAAAACTTCTCAACAAGTAACCAGACATTAGGACTGAAGAAAAAGAAGACCCCCCAAAATTCGGATTATTTCAGAATAAGCCAAAGTTGAGATTATTATACCAAAATTGATGAAAGTTGGGATTATTATATCTAATTTTTCCATTATTGTTTGGATAGTTATAAAAAGTGAAAATTTCCGAAGAAAGTTCCACTTACCTAAGGGCTCAGGCCGCTTAGTTAAGTTCATTTTGTGAATTTGGAATTTACGCTATAAATAGGTCAACCAAACACCACAAGAATTTCGAGTTCCATTGTTTTAATACTCCGTAAGTCCATATTAGACAAACAACACTTAAGTATATCATGGGACCTACATTATTAATTTACCTTATTTGATTCTTGCGTTATGTTTTGTTTAGAGTTGTCAAAAGTTGACCTGACCCGAAATACCGACTCAAAGCCGATTATTAACCGATCCATCTGAACCCGAAAAAATGGTGACCCAAACCCGATCTAAAACCAACCCTAGAACCGAGTTGACCCAAGTAAATGAGACTCGAACCCGAACATGAACTGATCTGAAGATGACCCGACTCGAATGTAACCCGTAAATTATTAACCTGAACCGAACCCGACTTGAACCAAAATTGACCCAAACCCGTCTTAACCCGTTAAAACCCGAATATTATCCGACTTGTTACTAACCTGACCTGATTTGAACCCGACCTGAATTTAACCCAACCTGTTACAAACCTGACCCAAAATCAACCCGACTTGTTATTGACCTGACCCAAATTCAACTCGAATTATTATTGACCCGACCCGAATTTTACCAGACCTATTACTAACTCGACCCAAAAATTCAACCTGATATGTTACTAACCATGTTCGAAATCAACACGACTTGTTATTAACCCGACCAAAATTCAACCCAAATTGTTCCTGACCCGATTTCAAATCACCTTAAATGCAATTTAGACCACCTTATTATTGTTGATCAAAGCATTTTGTCTAGGGAGATCAAGTCGGTCCAGGCCAGCAGAAGAAAGGAGCAACATTCTCAAATTTAAGAGTTAAATATAGTTTATATTTGTTATATGGTAAAAGGATTGTATTATCTTCCTAAATTGTAAACTATAGTTCCCTAGTATATTTTCATATATATTATAGTCAAAGGAAATAATTAGCTCAATAAAAATGATAATTATCTATTTATAGTTAGTTGAACCCGAATATTACCTAACTTGGAAATGACCCGGCCTGATTGTAACCTGCAAATTATTGACTTGAACATAACCCGACTTGACTCCGAGAAAATCCCGACTTGAAAATGACCCAACCTGATTATAACCCGCAAATTATTGACTTAAACCAAACCCGACTTGAACCCGAGAATGACCCGAGCTGATTATAACCCGCAAATTATTGACTTGAACTGAACCCGAGAATTACCCTAACCCGTTTTAACGCGTTAAAACCCGAATTAAACCCGACCTATTGTTCACCCGACCCGAATGTAACCCGACCTGTTATTAACCTGACCTAAACCCGACCCAAACCCAATAAGAAGTATGACTCGACGTGACCCGAATCAAGCATGACCCAACCCAAACCCGACCCGAATAGGTTATGGAATTGACCCGAGTTGAACCGACTCACTCTTATCGACCCAAACCCAACCTGTTTACCAGAATTGACAACTCTACCCGAAACCTCCAAAATTTCTTAAAAAGCGTGGATATTAGACTTCAATTTTGAAAATTTTTGACTTTTTTCACACGGAAAAAAATTACCGAAATGTTTACCATGGTCTCTAGTACCCTCCGGGAGTCCAATTGGTTGGGTGGAACCATTAAATTTGCCTTTAAAACACCAATTTATCGGTTTACAACTTGCATTGATTTCATTAACTCAAGCTTACCACGAACATTTATGACAAAATATAATGATCATATATGGAATCAAACGGCATTATATGACCCCGAGATGTATCCTCTAAAATCTCAATCCTTTTCAACACCGGGCCCCAAAACATTCGAAATTTCTCAAAAAGCGTGGATATTAGCCTTCAATTTTGGGATTTTTTGACTTTTTTTCGCCCGAAAATAAAAATTGCCGAAAAATTTACCATGGTTCCTAATACCCTCCGGGGGTCCAGTTGGGTGGGTGGAACTATCCAATTTGCCTTTAAACGACCTATTTACCGGTTTATAACTTGGACCGATTTCATTAACTCAAGCCTACCACAAACATTTAGGACAACAAATAATGATCACATATGGTTCCAAACAGAATTAAATTATCCCGAGATATATCCCCTAGGATTTCTAGACTTTTCGACACCAGACCCCGAATCCTCCAAAATTTCTCAAAAGGCGTGTATATTAGATTTAAATTTTGAAAATTTTGACTTTTTTTCAGTCCTGAAATAAAAATTGCCGAAATTTTTACCATGATCCCCAAAATCATCCGAGAGTCCCAGGGAGTCCCATTTGGTGGGTGGAACCATCCATTTTGCCTTTAATCAACCAATTTACCGGTTTATAACTTGCACCGATTTCATTAACTCAAGCCTACCACGAACATTTATGACAACAAATAATGATCATATATGGTTCCAAACAGAATTATATGACTCCGAGATGTATTCCTTAAAATTTCAAGACTTTTCGATACTGAGGCTCGAAACCTCCAAAATTTCTTAAAAAGCACTGATATTAGTCTTCAATTTTGGAATTTTTTGACTTTTTTCGCCCGGAAATAAAAGTTGACGAAATGTTTACCATGATCCCTAATACCCTCCGGGAGTCCAATTGGGTTGGTGGAACCATCCAATTTGCCTTTAAACGACCAATTAACCGGTTTACAACTTGCACCGTTTTTATTAATTCGAGCCTACCACGATCATTTATGACAACAAATAATGATCATATATGGTTCCAAATGGCATTATATAACCCCGAGATATATCCCATAGAATTTCAAGACTTTTCAACACTAGGCCCCGAAACTCTAAAATTTCTCAAAAAGCGTGGATATTAGCCTTTAATTTTTGAATTTATTTACTTTTTTTCGCCCGAAAATAAAAATTGCCGAAATTTTTACCATGATCCCTAAAATCATCCGAGAGTCCCAGGGAGTCCCATTTGATGGTGGAACCATCCATTTTGCCTTTAATCGACCTATTTACCGGTTTATAACTTGCACCAATTTCATTAACTCAAGTCTACCACGAACATTTAAGACAACAAATAATGATCATATATGGTTCCAAATGGCAATATATGACCCCAAGATGTATCCCATCGAATTTCAAGACTTTTCAACACCGAGCCTCGAAACTCTAAAATTTCTCAAAAAGCGTGGATATTAGCCTTTAATTTTTGAATTTTTTTACTTATTTTCGGTCGAAAATAAAAATTGCCGAAATATATACTATGGTCCCTAATACGCTCCGGGAGTCCAATTGGGTGTGTGGAACCATTCAATTTTCTTTTAAACGGCCAATTTACCGGTTTACAACTTGCACCGATTTACCGGTTTACAACGGCCTATTTGATTAACTTGCACCGAACCTGACTTGAACCGAAATTGACCCAAACCGTTTTAACCCGTCAAAACCCGAGTTTAACCCAACTTTTTACTAACCTGACATGAATTCAACCTAACCCGAATTTAACCCAACCTGTTACAAACCCAACTCGAAATCAACCCGACTTGTTATTGACCTGACCCAAATTCAACCTGACTTGTTATTGACCCGACCCGAATTTTACCATACCACTTACCCAACCAAAAAATTCAACCCAGCCCGATCTTGTACTAACCCGACTTGAAACTAACACAACTTGTTATTGTCCCGACCTAAATTCAACCCAAATTGTTCCTGACCCGATTTCAAATCACCTTAAATGCAATTTAGACCACTTTATTATTGTTAATCAAAGCATTTTTTCTTGGGAAACCAAGTTGGTCCAGGCCAGCAAAAGAAAGAAGCATCATCCTCAAATTTAAGAGTTAAATATAGTATATATTTGTTGTATGGTCAAAGGAGATAATTATCTTCCTAAATTATAGATAATAGTTCCGTAGTATATTGTCATAGATATTATAGTCAAAGGAAATAATTATCTTGATAAAAATGATAATTATCTATTTATAGTTACTTGAACCTGAATATGACCTGACTTGGAAATGACCCGACCTGATAGTAACCTGCAAATTATTGAATTGAACATAACTCGACTTGAATCTGAGAATGACCCGACTTGGAAATGACCCAACCTGATTATAACGCGTAAATTATTGACTTGAATCGAACTCGATTTGAACCCGAGAATGACCTACCCGACTTGAAAATCACCTGACCTGATTATAATTCGCAAATTATTTACTTGAACCGAACCCAACTCAAACCCGAGAATGACCCGACTTGATTCTAACCCGCAAATTATTGACTTGAACCAAACCCGAGAATTACCCTAACCCGTTTTAACCTGTGAAAACTGGAATTAAACCCGACTTATTGTTCACCCGATCCAAATGTAACCCGGCCTGTTATTAACCTGACCTAAACCTGACCCAAACCCGATAAGAAGTATGACTCGACGTGACTCGACTCAAGCATGAACCAACCTAAACTCGACCCGTATAGTGACAGGGTAAAGTCGTATCCCCTAATAAAAAATAATTACCTAAATCACTAACTAAGGTAGATAGGGAAGTAGGGTCGATCTCCACAGGGAAACAAGTCTTTTTACTCCTAATTAATTATTATAATCTAAATTATTTAAGTAACCAATATTTATAATTAAGCAAGAAACTAAACTACTAAGGTTGAGAATAGGAAGAAAACAATGTATGAAAGGATCTAGGGCATAGGTTCACCAATAAATAACACTCCAGGGTAAAATATAGTAATCAATCATTGACATTGTATAAATAACATGATTAACAGGCTCTTGCAATTTATTAATCAACATAGATCTAACAGGCTCTCGCAATTTACTAGATCTAAGTTCTTATTGAAAATAGCTTTTAATATCAAATTAACATCTGCTCGATTCATCAATTTAATATTGCTATACTTTTACAAGCCGCAATTGTAAAACATTAAAACAATCCAATAAGAAATTATCATGCAATACCAATAATCAATAATAGTCAATCATCAATGCATCAATTAACCAGATTGTAAAGGGCTCTCGCTACGTATTACAATCACACAATTAATTCATCGGTATTAAATCTCATCTCTTGAATCTTGACTTAACCATTTATAAATTAACTTGCCTATTGAAACTAGAGCTAAACATTAATTCTCATCTCTCGATTCTTGAATCAATATTTTCAAACTCATGCATAAAAGATAGGCCTAATCTAGTCACAGAGCATTAAATCAATCAATAGGAAATTAATCTAGCATTGATAATCAACAACAATAATTTACCCCTTCATATTATTTATTAGATCCCCATAAACCCTAGAAATTAAACTACTCACACATATTAAAAACTAAACTAATCAAGGTAATAAAATAAACCATGGTGAAAGGAATAAAATAAATAACTAAGATTAAGGGAAAAGAAATCGTTACCAAAATAATCTGGAATTAATGAAAGAATTAAGAACAAAGGTTTTTAGAGAGAGTTTTAGAGAGAGAGAGAGACACTAAGTAGAGAGAGAAAATCTAAGAAAGAAGGTAAGTCAAATTAATTCTCCTCAAAACGTACTTAAACAAAACTAAAACAACTTCCTAATTAGAAACTAATTACTCGACAAAAGAGCTCCTCCAGAAACACGCGCCCGATCGGGCTAGAGGCCGCCCGATCGGGCGCGCCTTTTTCTCGCACTGCTCTTCTCACAACCGCGCCCGATCGTGCTAGCAGCTCACCCGATCGGGCGCGCCTTTGGCCACGCACCAGCACACTTGCGCGCCTTGCCCGATCGAGCTAAGCTGCCCGATTGGGCCCTTGCTTCACCTCGAGGCTCGGAGCTTCGGTTGGGCTTATTTCTTCGGCCCAATCCGGATATCCACTTAGGGTCTTGATCACTCGGTCCATATACCTCGGTACTCGATTACCGAGCCCTTAATCACCGGCTCTCACCGATCCTGGGCTCTAAAAGTGGTCGTGTCTTTCCAGCTTCCGTAGTCGATCCAATAAAGCCCGGGAAAATGCTCCAAGAGTGCAATTTCCTGTAAAATACAACTAAAACTACGAAAACACTGGAACACACAAATTAGTAATAAAAGTGGCCCGAAAGAGCCAAAAACACTACTAATAACAACCAAGGGACGGGGGTAAAACACTATATAAAATGGACATATCACATAGGTTATGGAATTAATCTGAATTGACCCAACCAAGTTGACCCGACCCACTCTTACCCGACCCAAACCCGACATGGCAGCGCTAATTTTGTTCGCTTATTTGAAGTTTTTTTCGTTGTAAGTTTTAAGAGTTACTAAAGGCTATCTTGAACGTTAATTTACACCTAATATGAACTCTAAAAGTGAAAATCAAATGAATAACATGCACCATAATTTATGTCAACAAACATAAGATTGAATCTAATTTACATAAATTTTGAATTATATACATCTTGCATTCGATCTAATAATCAATCTAATTTTAATTATTTATATCAATCTTACAAATTTACGTTTACATTTGAATTGTATACATCTTGCATCCGGTCTCAAGCCAAGGGCATAATTTTCAGCAATCGCACCTGTTGAATATCAATCAAGTTGATTTATCAAGTTTAAGATCTTGTTGCAGAAAACTAGCACAATAATGGTCGACAAGTACATGTTATTTTCATAGATGTTTTCTTCCGCTTCATCTCTCACGTCCACTTTCTGGACTTCCACTAAATCAGAGTCCACCCTGATCTTTAAGTTTCTTATACAACCACCAAGGAAATCATCCGTTTCTTCCTCCATGAAAGTAACTTGGTAGAAAAACCAACAAACAGCTGTAAAAGAAAAGGCATATCAAACAGGAAACACTCCAGCAAAAGTAATGGATTGTTCAGTCTCTAGCTCAGTCATTTCCTGGTGCCTCAAATGCAAATGTTGTGAGATTTATACTCTCGTGAACAGGCTAAAGGAAGGAACTTTGTGTGAAATTACAGAAAGGTTGTTAAAAGTTCATTTCATACATGATCACTAAATTACAGTTCATCTTCCAAAAATCTCCGACTCCTCAAAACCAGGATGTAATTGTAATTTTAAAGTGACAACAGCATGAAAAATGAACCAATGGAATATATGTGCTAGACTCAATCGATTAAGAGGAATATTGTTTAATTTTCCTTGGTTAACTAACATTGGCTTTGTTCACATACATAAAAGAATGTACAGGTTAGTGCAATACACAAAATTGTTTGTTCTTCTCAGTTCCAGGATCCTTGACTGTGATTGGCTAACTTCATTGAACCCGAAAAATGTGACCAACTACTCAACTAGCACTTCAATCTGTGACAAAAGTTAAAAAAAATGCCTAGTCATTAAATGTAGCAGCGATAGAATTTTCAGTATCATAGTTATATATGAAGATTGGTTAAAGCAGTAAAAAGATAGAAAAAAAAAACACGGGGAATCACCTACAGCATTTCACAGATGTTGTGCTCTCCAATCAACTGCAAAGCTCTTATCATCTTCATCTTCGTCTTCATCTTCATCATCACTTGACGAGCTATCTTGTTTGGCCTTTGATCCTGGATCTTCAGACACCTTACCAGCTCTGGAAGATCTAGCAGCTAGAAGTTCCATTTTCTTTCTCTTTAGCTCCTCCACTCTGTTCCTGTAGGTCCTGAGAGAAGGGGAAGGGGTGGAGAAACAGTTATACATTTGTTTGAAATCGGACATAAGTCTTGTAATTTTGTAAAATAGTTCAGCAATCCAGCTTACTTTTGCTCTACTATTTCTTCCTCCTCTATCTGCTCAGCTGCGTCAATCTGTAACAAAAATATAATGCAAACAAGGTATTGGTGTCAGGCCAGACTTCATCAAAATTATCTTAGGATTATTTCTCCTTGATGTCCCATGAGCCATGACTAGCTATAAGAACCCAATCAAACCAACACAAGAATGCATTCTCATTCAAAAATCATAACTAAACCCTGCCAAAAAATTTGGTAGGTTGTATTAAATTGCAGTCATGATATGTAAATGAAATGAAATTCTGCAAGGTAAATATCAAGCTAAAGTCACTGTAAAGTCGGTAACACAACTCCCTTAAGTATTTAATGAGCGCCGACGTATGATTTTACTTGAACTCACGAAAAAAAAAAAAAAAAAGGTCATTCATATTGCCATCATTTATTACTCTTTACCCTTTACTAAACAAGCTGTGAAAGAAAAGGTACATTGTATCTAAAAGACTGAGTTAATGTCTCTTTATCCAAGGGAACAGGCAAGACCTCACCTCTTCTTCTTCAAAGCGGTTGTCCACCTCTGCCAAATCCTCTTGGATCAACTTTTCAAATTCCTTGTACTCATCTCTGACAAAGATCAACAAATATATCATCATCTAAAGCCATAATTAGTATAAGAAAAATGTGGCAACATTCTAAATACCTACAGAACAAATAAGATTAAATCCTAAATTCCTAATGCACATCAGAGGTTCTCAGATTCATTTTACACACATTGAGTTGATTCACAAATCCCACAGCAATAGGAAAAGGAAATATATTATGAATGAATAGTATCAAAGAAATAAAGATTTAATTCAATCATATACGCACAACCCTTCAATCATATCCGCACAACCCCAAAATACTTGAAGCCTAGCAGTTATAATCAGACTCCAGTAAATAAAATCAAAATCACCCACAGAAAACTTCACAAGATCATGAATGGTCAGGTCACATGAACCTACCTTTATATACAGTATGCTATTGCAGACAACCTGCTTAGTGAGGCTTTTGAAGTATAGCACTAGAAAAGAAAAAGTTCTCAACACATTCCCCTCCCCAAAAAAAAAGGATGGATGTACTGAAGGTAATTTGAGACCAAAGGTACCAATAAAGCAGCTTAGGCAAAAAGAGGTCAGCCTTAGGTCCATGGTTTTTAGTTGGACCAGCAGCAAGTGCAAGTGTAAGTGTGTAACATCAGAAGTTATGGTGCAAGATTAGTATTTTAGTACAAAGAAAACATAGTTGAGCCAAGTCGATGAAAGCATGAATGCAAAGTGCAAAGCAAAAAAAATCTGAACAGTGAAGGTTTCAGCTTCAAGAATATGCCACTGTGTATTTGGCAGGGATTAACACTAAAAAAAATAGAGAGAACAAAGGACGTTGTTGCGCTTCCTCGCCAATGAGACAAAAGCACAAACCAGAGGAGGAAAAGACATTGTTCCAATGTTAAAGTCGACCATAAGATTGCCTTCCTTACCCTAGATAATTCTTCCTAACACCTACGGGCATCAAAACAAAGGCAAATCTAAAGGACAATAAAAGCAATGTTTGACCTCAGGTTTATTGTTATCTGATGCTTAATTTTCATATCAGGACTCCTAAAATCAGGCCAATAAATTCGAATCTCAGAACAAAATACTAATCAATCATTAGCACATCAAAATTCCTTACTACTATAGCACATCTTTTCTGCACATAACTTTCATAGGATGATTATACACGCATTTGGATGCCCTAGGCAAGATTGCAAGAGGTAACTCAAGAACTGTGCAGATTAGGGAAGTTAGATAGCATATCCACAGCTCTCCAAGAGCATAAATTTGTTCATGTTTTGACTCTTTGACCCTCAGATACTGGAACTGCCGTGCTGAAACACTAATTTAAGAAGTATTTCTGCAAATCGACGACGACGACAACAACAACAACAACAACAACAACAACAACAACAACAACAACAACAACAACAACAAAAAAAAAAAACAACTTCAACAGTATGTGATTTTTCCAAAAGCTTAATTATCAAATTTTTAAGCTATGCCGCCTATACAGCACAATCAAAGGTATAGAATAAGGATGATTACAGCAATGTATGAGCCTGAACTACAAGATGAATGCAAATTGGAAAATTGAGAAACTCACTTGACATCTGGTTTCACAGGTTCAATACCACGTGCACGTAGATCAGCTTCTTTGTTATCAAAGAAACCTTGGGGCAACTCTCCAATCTGCTTAGTTTCAGAAGGAGCCGTTACATTTTCTGCAACCCTAACAGGCTGAGTTTCACGTTGACTAGATTTTGCAGGCTTAGATGGGATCGCACCCACACTAGTATCAATTTCCTGTACTCGAGCAGGTACTGCAAATAAAAAATTCCAGATATGTGGGTCAAATGGTGGGTACTGTGTAGTAATTCCTAAATGTTACTTCCTCAGTTTCTTATTAGTTGATAATTGAGTTATGCACTATTCACACATTCTACTTATGTCTTTTGTGATTTATGTGTAAGGGTAAACACATTCATCATGTGAGGTCTCGTTAGATTCATGCATTCATCTCAATAAATAATTTCAATATATTTTTAATAATTTTTACTTCATGAAATTGAAAGGCATTATAACTTAAGTTTTGCATTGGCAGTTTGGCACACATCTCTAAAGAAAAGTGTCATGTCAAAAGAAACAGAAGAAAGATTAACAAAACAAAAAGAGGACCCTCTTTAAAGAAAGTATGATTCTTCACTTGAAAGGTCCAATGGACATTGCATAGTTAAAACAAAGATATAATTGTCATGAATAATACGACCTTTGCTCGGTCTTCCAAAATAAAACGACCTTTTGATTATTCCCCAGTAAAATGACCTTTGACATGCATCTTCTATAAATAGGGCGTAATCGGTTAATTACCTGTTTAATAAGTTAAGTGTGTCCGTCACTTTGTAAGTGGTAGGTTATTATTTATTTTTACAATTTTCATATTAGTTAAATAGATTTTAATCTATTTATTAAAAAAAAAAAAAAAAAAAAAAACCAAAATACCCCCAACGGCCCCAACCCTGTCAAGCCATCACTGGCTACCCAACCAGCCTAAAACCCCTTCACCGACCACCCCAACGCACCAACCTAGAACCCTTTCTCTGATCAGCCCACCCTATCCCTACTAGTCCGAAACCCAACCCCACCAGCAGCCGAATCCCGACCCTTACCCCACCCCTATCCCTACATGTTTGAAACCCAACCTCTTCACGATCCTCAAAACCCCCTCGGTTCAGCATAGGCGTACGTTGGGCGCTGGCAGTCTAGTGAGGGTTAGGTACCTCAGTTATGAAAATTTTAACCGAATTCAAAACTATTTAAAGTAGTTTGGTTTGCATGAGGAATTCAGAGTAATACTTTATCACTTATTAGTCCTCTCAAATTGCATATTTATTTTTTCATATTTCCCACTTTCCCAAGAACTTTTTTTTTAAAAAGAGTAAGAAGAAAGGCAAATACTCCGTACATTATTTGGAAGGAGGCACAGCAAGTTCAAGAGGGAGAGAATATCTGCATAAAATACAGGTACTCACCAACTTTCTGTCTCTTATTGTCCCCATGGTCAAAGAAATCAGCAGGAAGTGCTGAGGATGACCGGGACTTCTGTACATCAGAAGATATTCTTGGTTTATCATCCTTGGACTTTGGAGAATTATCCAATTGTTTCTTCAAAGACTCTTTAACGGTCTCAGATTTTGCACTGTTGACCGCACCTTTTTTGGAAGCACTTGCTTTAAGATTGTTAATTGCCTGAAAAGTATCCACTAATATTATAAGTTGCTGAAAAAAAATGCACATATCTTTAAGGTACACACTATATCTTCTGATATAATAATATATATATAAAATAAAAATAAATAAACAAGCACAGAACTGAGGTTACAAAGTCAGAACACTAAAGTTGTCCATCTATTGAGACTTTACTGTTTTATTAGATGACTATGGAAACACAAGAAAAATCAGCATGTGACCATGCAAGAGAAAAAAAAAAGAAGTAATAAAACAATTCCAGATGTATTTACCAAGCTAAGATACCTCATAGTTAGGAAAAACCAAGAATGGCATGAATGAAGGGACGTAATAGGCAAGTTTGAATCTTATATCGACATGTTTTTTACTTTGACACTATTCACAAACTCCAATTTGACTACCTTTTGTGATTCATAGTTATGATACAACATAATCATGTGGGATCTTGTTAGAAATGTTTCAATGTATATTTTCATAACATCAACTTTTTATAGTCTTTACTTGTTAATAATTCAAGATATCAATTGTTGACCAAATGTGATGAAATAAATGTCAACAAAAAAACGAGCAGAAAAAGAATATAGAACACAAAAAAGGCCTGACTGTCAGATAATAAGGAAATACTGTAGATGGTATATAGCGTTATATACAAAAATGGTTTGATATTCATTAGAGATTAGAATATGGGATGGAAGTATTATAATGTATCAGAAATTGGCCAAATAGTATGAGCCATTTCTGGGCACATGTTAACATAATCAAGGATCAACTTATCAGGGTAAAGCTGCAGGCAGTTTCCCCCACTCATTCCCCCAAGTCTGGTGGTGGTTGTATGACTAGCGACATACCAATATTCTAAAATCATTGTAAATAGGATGCATTTAAAAACAAATTTTGAGAAGCAATCCAGTCAACTTGACATGCCACTAAGAAGTTACAAGATCACAATCAAGATATGAAGAGAAGACAAACTGGAGACGACAATCTTACATATATTGAGTTAGCTGATATACTTCAAAGATATGACAATTATAGGGACTTTTTCATGCTCAAGAGTTCTCACAGCCCACTTCTCTCAGAGGGCACCTATTTCTAGTTTCTAATACTTTTTACAGTTGCTCCTGGCTTCACACATCCGCTGGTGCTTAGCATATTTAAACACTGTCTCTCATGCCTTTCAATTTAGGTCATTCCTCAACTTCCTGCACTGTGAATATAATTCAGCAACTGCCATTGTGAAGACTGAAGAGTAAGGTCACATACATCGTACCCACCCACACCCACACCCATTACCACCCCACCCCACCCCACCCCCAACCAAAAAAAAAAGTCACTGCAGCTAGTTCTTCTAAGCTTTAAAAAGCTCATTCAAGCCTTGTCTTAAGTTTATAAACAGAAACTAATAATAGGGAAGAAGTCTAGAAATGGACCTACTTTGTTTGCTTTTATATTCAATTCGTTTTAACAGACAGAACTCTTTCAGCATGTCAAGAAAATTTATCCTGCAGAAAGCAGAGTAGCAACTGTGCACAATGGATTATTCAGAAACCCAATAACTTGTTATGATGGGAAACTGTCTGATTGTGATACTTGATCTAACAGTCCTTTAACTATCCTGAGCCTGCAAGTGAATTATAGAGCTGGGTAAATGGCTTGTGGAAAACTGGAAACACTAATGTTGCAGGTAAAACCTAAGGGAATGGCTTGACAAGTCATGCAAGTCTGAGCTGGCAGTTTAGTGGTTCAGTTAGGCAAAAGAAAAGGGGGTGGGGTGGCATTTTACAGGGAAGAAAGGGAGCTTCTTTATCAAGACAATTCAGTAAAACATTGGCTCAGAATTGTAGGCACATAAGGAACTGGCCTAGCATTGTAAATTAATCCCCAACTGTGGACATTTTCAGGGAGTAGCCTCCTTCATTCTTGCTTGACTTTCAGTTCAACTCATCGACAACAATATACCATCTTGAAAAACTTCCATTCTTCTTCACAAGTCCAAATATCCCAAGAAACATAAGATACTCAAACAATTTCTACAGACACCGAATGAATAGTTAGGGGTCAAGAAGAAACGAACAGCTTACCTTTCGTCGATAGATAATCAGATTTCCAGTGTCTAATGTTTAATCCCACGTTCATGGCCATATCAGAAGCACAATTTAACAAATTGTCAACCTAGCTAAGCAGCACATTCCAACTTGGATTGAATGTATTTTAACCTCCCACGTGGGATTATTGCCCCCTATCCCGCCTTCTTCCAAAAGACCCAAATAAGGGAGGAGGAAAGAGAGAATAAAGGAAACAGCTAGCATTTAACGAAAACAAAACAACCAACACTCTAGCTAGTTCTCCATTTTCCAGGCCAAAAAGAAATTATCCAATCATAATCACGGTAAAAACTGAAACTCTCTGAGTAATATTACCTCATGATGCTTCCGAGAGGCTTGGTGTACAGTCCAATCAGAATCAGATTTTAAGACACAGTCACAAACTCGACAAACAGGCTTACCAATTTCATTATACCTGCATTGGAGAAGGTAATCAGACAAATTGAAATCCGTTTATCTGATACAGCACCACCTTAAGCTCAAAAACAAATCTATATGAAAATTACCAATCATAGATTGCAACAACACCAAAAAGAAAACTTTAGCAATTCCATTAATTGGGAATTGAAGTTTTAATCTTAATGATGAGTTACAATTCTAACAATCCAATAAATAAACCAGCAAAATCTTCCTGTCTTAACTACTAGTACCATATATCTCCTTACTTAGGGTTTCTACAAACAATTCGAACTAAAAATTGAAATCAAATTGAATGAAATTAGACAAGTATACCTCACAAGGGGCGAATCAATGCGATTTTTTTGCTGTTTCTCGTTTAACTTAGCACGAAACAAAGCCTTCTTCCTATCTCGATCAGCCATTGTTAAGCTTCAATTAAAAAAATTCCAGAAATTTAAAAAACCCTAGAATTTGAGATTTTTCGGACTTGTATTTTCTCTAAATTAAAAGATTGAAAATAAATACATTGCTTGAGCAGAAGTCGAGCGGGAAGAATTAGCAGCGGTTTCCCATCTGGAATAGAGGAACGATGTATAAATTAACTTTACAATATACAGCTCTGCTTTTAGTTTTTAAGTAAGGTTGTTAATAAGCTAAATCAAGCCGAAACCAGGCTCACGGTTGCTAGACTCGGCTCGGCGCACTTTGATAGCCTTGAGCTTTTACAAGCTTAAATTCTCAAGTTCGACTTACTGTAACATCTACCTTGAGTTTGAAACTTTATGCACTTGATTTAATACCACGCTTTAATATTGCTTTTGAGTTTATTAACATATATTTACTAGTTGTACTAATTTTAAGTGAGATATTAGATATAAAATAAAATAGTAAAAAAGTATTTTGAGCTTTTTGAGTTGAGGTTAGTTTTACTCATTCTCATAAAATTTTGGACCTTGGAGAAGTTTGCAAGCTATAGCTAGCACTCTTACTCAAGATTTTATTTTCATACGAAGTAATAAATATCACAAAGTGGATAAATATTGTCATTGATAAATTTTATTTACAGTAGTAGAAATTCATCTATAATTATTTATTAATATCAACGAGGAAGCAGTATCTTTGTTTTTTTGCATGTAGTTGATCTTAGTCAATAAACTAACACTTGATCAGTCTTAGCTACGAAAATTGGAAAACAATGGTAGTTTGATTCCTAAAAATACATATATTAAGAAATAGAACTTCGTAACAAATTTTTTTTTTTAATATGCTTATAGGAAAAAAATTGTTTTAAGCAGAAATGATTTACGAATTTCTTTCGTTCTCATAAAATCAAATTTAAGTACACAACATAGCTTTAGACATACATAACAAGATGATCTTAATTAACAACATATTAGTGATAAATACAGTAGTGCAGGCTGCTAGGTAGCAACTCATGACTACGAAATTTAGTCCTTAATTGTCTACAAAGTTACACATGCTCCTAATTATACCATGATTACCAGTTAACACTCCTGCATATGAGAGCTTTAAAAAAGCAGAACCAAATTCTTGAAAGAAATCGTCAGAATTAGCTGCAAACTGTTCCACAATCCCTGCTGTTCGAGTGTTTAGGGGCAACTCTGCATCAATCCTTAGCACACCTCGGCGCTGCAGAGAATTCTTGTAGTACAAATTGTCAAATATAAATGTTGAAGGATCATTAAGCACAAAACTTATATTTTGAGAAAAGGGTATGTTTTCAGGACAGCTGAATTTCAAGAGTGCTTCAAATCTAGGATCCATGTTGCTCCCTCTCACGTCAGATGGCCTGTACAAACGATCCATAATGTTTAAGCAATGTGTGACTCCTAAAGTATGTGACCCTGCAACCATAAATTTGTAGTTTACTTTATGTTATTATTAATGAAATGTTCAATGGCAAAATATTAAATTCTTTTCTATATACTTGAAATGCAAAATGAAACATGATCAAGGAAAATATTGCTAGTAATCTAGTATTTTTCAAGTTTTGTTATGCAATGTGTTAGCTTGATCTGTCAAGATTATATCTTGGAACAAATTACGGTAGAGAATGGACTGGGGACATAGCCTTAGGCAACCCGGTTAACTAGGCAGAGCTAGAGACATAACCTTAGCCCTTAGGCTAAACCACCACTGGCCATCTATACAGCAGTAGAGAGCCAGATATTATGGTGAAAAAAGTTGATCAAAAAATGAAAAGTACCCATAATGGCAACTGTTTCCCGAGTAGTCATCCCTAGCTTGGCGAAAAGGCTGAGAGCGTCATCAACTCCAAAATCAGGTGCAGGGAGGGAAGCATCAGCATCTTCAGAGCTTGAAGCTGAGATTGAGTCTCTCCTACCTAAAGGAACTATTATTCTTGGACCCCCAGAAATAGCCACTGCCTCTCTAGCAGCCAACACTATAATATCAGCACAAGAGACTAGCCCTGGACATTCTTCTTCAATCCTTGATTTTATTTGGTTAATTGATTCCCTCTTTCTAATCCCAAAGTTCTTTTTTGCTCCCAGCTCTGGTGGCTCTAAGGACGCCGAGTTAGACACATCGATCAGAATTGATGCATCACAGCCCTGACAAAGAATAAAAGGGTTCTGTTAGAAAAACTCATAAGATTCATCATGCATGCAAACTTGCTAGTAACAACGTGTACTAAGTACTAACAGGCCAGTGTAAGTTGCCAACCTTGCATTGTACCATTACCATGATACACTAATAAATATATTAACTATAAACCACAATAGGCAAACTTTTAGGAGGTATCATATGTAAGAACCAATAACTTCGACAAGCAGAAAGATTGTGCTGAAGTATATCCTTAAAAGTAGAACAAAGGAAAATAGTACTTAGCAGCTAGTTGATTGAGTACAAATGTACAATAAGTCGAAAGACAGACGAGTACAAGCTAAGTATGATATTGTTACAGAATTCAAGGGAGGCCAGGAAGGCGTAGAGAAAGAGTACCTGAACTTGGCAGTCATGGAACATGAGCCTTAGGAGAGCAGCAGCAGAAGTAGGATCATTGGTAAATACAGGAGCAAGCGTAGCTCTGACAATGTCCTCAAGTTGAGGGCAAGTTTTGTTATAAAAATTATAGGAAAGACCTTTAGGAATAGAATTGTTAGCACTAGCTGAATAAACAAGAATAATGAGAAAAAATGATAAAGTAAGTGTACTTGTAATTGTAATTCTACCCATGTTATTCCTATAGTCCAAATTTTTAGGAGGGAATGTTGGACTAGTAGTTGGGAAGTAGATATGAGGTTAAGGGGTGTATTTATAACCCCTGAAAAGTGGAAAAAAAAATATGGGGTTAAATTTTTTATTAACAAATGGGATGACATTATTTACCTTTTCTATTTGTAAATTACTTTATAGCACTTGTTCTAGGTTAAAACTAGTGTATAGTTATCTTGCTAAAACACCAATGCAGAGTTGCAGACTATGAGACTGTGAAAGTAAGGTTCACCTTGTATATGGAGTATGTCATTATTATCCAGCATAACAAAGATAAATTTTCCGGTTTCTATTATGAAATATCTCTAAATAAAAGTTTACTCTCCTTTCAATATTATTTTCGGTTGAAGTTTTTTATTGTTAGGTTAGTATTCTCAGCTCCATAGTAATCATGTAACTCACACTCTATTGTTCATGCCAGCACAATTCATCGAAAAATCCTTCTTTCTCTGTTATTCCTAGTGCATATTTTAAATGAACATTTGAATGCAAGAGTTTCATAATACCTTCCAAAGATTATACATTAATAAACACACGATAAACATTTACCCCATCTCTAAATTCTGAAATGTTTTGTAGGCCTTAACGCCCTTAAGCCAAAGCATGCATACATTTGCAGAGAACCCAAAGATAGTTTTTATTTTACAGCATGGCTGTCATTTCCTATTGCCGGAGTGTACCTTTCCTCTTTTGGGGAGAAATTGCTGTAATCTGCTTTTACCAAACAAGTAACTCCATAAATTTGCAGAGTACCCAATAATCATGCATTACATTATAAAAGAATGATTACCTGAACATGCAGTACATTTCTAAACCTACCACATGATCAGAAAAATACGGGTATAAATTTCTTACCAAGATGCATCCAAACCAAAAATTACATCACAATATATAATTTAGACAACTGAAAGCAGAAATAATAGTAGATGATGCATACTATCTTTAGCAAGCTGACATCTTTACTGAATCAGAGACTTTCTCTTTTATAATGCACACTATCTTTTTTAGTAAAAATTACTATTAACATCGGTGGCATTCAAATTGGTTGCAAATGTCAGAGACTCAAGAGTATAGTAATCTAGCACTACGCACACAAGCTTTTTTTAGCTATCTGCCTTCTGTTTTTCCCCGTCTTTGGTCTAAATAAATTTCTAGTCTTTCCAGCAACATCATTTGAAAGGACTTCCTGTAATGTTCAAATTTCTAGTCTGCAATGAAAAATTCTACAGGTGCTGACCGAGATGTGTTTTTTTATGGGATGGTCTCACCAAAGACTTGTTCAATAAGTATATCAACATGCTTAATCATCCCAATATTTCAGTCCTTGCTTATTTTCCACAAATCTCTCATGCTTATAAAACAAGCTTCCAAAATATTGTAAGTCCATATTATAAGAGGATGAAGTGGACTAACCCGGAAAATATCCATATGATTTCATAATACTACTGCTTGCAATCCAAGCAACCCCCCCCCCCCCAAACCCACACACACACACACCCTCAAATGAATGAATTATTTTACCAGCTGCCAGTTCCAGTTTCCCTAAATTTGAACACTGCAAATTATAAAAGAATCCAGAACATCATAAAGCCATTTACCACACACCAAACCTAAGAAGTCATCACCTTTTTCAACTAACAGTTTGACATCAAAAAGAGTTTGTATGTCAAAAAATTACATGTCACCATTACAATGCTAATTTTATGTCAATAATGTCTTTGAAGCTTGATTTCAACCGCAAATTTTATTCACTATAAAGGTCAACAGGGACTATGAACTTATAATTTGTTTTGAGTTTTTACCAGCAGAGAAATAAAAATATGAATATTGGATTGTTTTCAAATTCCTCCCCCCTATCACTTTTCCCCTGTTTCCAAAGTTTCTTTAGATAGTAAAAACATGACTCAAAGTAGCTTTATCAGCAAAAGAAAAATATAAACCCCTGTATTCTTCAAATTACCACTTTTACCTGACTGGGGTCATAATTGATAAAGACTTCTAACTACTCGTACCACAATACACTTTTGGTTCAATAATTGCAGCATCCTCCATTCCTGATTCCTAAAATAGGACAGGGAGATTTATGTAATGAAAAAGAATCTGCCATCAGCCAAATACTACAAAGAAAAAATGTTGTGAAACTGTTTCTTCAGACAGTAAATGTTTATGAGGCCAAAAACAAGATGAAGTGCAGCAGAGAAATTCTCTGACATTCTACAGCAGAGACTAAAAAAAAGTTATGCATTATAAAATTTTAAATCAATCCAGCAACAATCTATGATAAATGGATGTGCACGTTATGATGTTGAAACTATACAAGCCATGCACTATCAAATTAATTAGGTAACACTAGAGTGTGCGAGATACAAAGTTGTTCAGCAAGTATACTGTGCAAGAAAAGAATTCGATTTTATTCAACTTTGCTTATTGGGAATACATATGTGGTCATTCAGAACATCACCAAATTTTGCAGATATTATGAACATCACATACAAGATTAAAGTCTACACATACTTCAAAACTCCACTACCTATATCCCTAGCAAGATCCCCAAAATCTGGACAAACAACCCAGTTCTGAAATGTCTGCATGCAGATGTTTGATAGGTAATGACAGACCAGGATTAATTGTCACTATGGGAAATGAACTCAGAATTGTGAAAATCAACAATGATTTGCTTACTTCTTCCAAGAAGCTATTTGCTGCTACGGTGTCATTGTGAAGGGTTACATGCGGATGTAGAGCAGTACAGAGCAGAGACAAGCCAGAAAATGCCAAAGGACCTGGTAAACCCAACATGTCTTGTCTTGGTTTTTGGCGGATGCATGAGAAGCTTCTATTTTGCCAGATTCAATGCTAGATTAAACACCTAAAGTCAAATTTAGCTAATTAAGAATAGATCTCTTGAAGAAATTACACGCACAATAGATTTTCTTTAAGCCAATTGAATCTAGAAATACAATGGAAAAGCCAATTAAGAATTGAGAGCAGATCACAATCAATATAGTGAAGAATATAATTGACTGAATGTGTTAAGATATGTATAGGTCCCTGCCTGATAACAAGAAAGGCATACAAGGCTAACTAAGACTTGTAATGTAATGGTGTTGTGATTACAAATTACCTATCATTTTAAGGTTCTGATTTTTAAGATTACAAAATATAAGTATATGGTCTATCACTGATCTCAGGCCTTATTTTGTTCACCTTACTTTTACTTATTTCAAATAAGGTTATAAAAGATAAGTTCAAGTTAATTCAGATAATTTCAATTAAATTCAAATATAAGAAAATCAAGTAAATAGAACACACCCTAAGTACATAGCATGTGCAAGACCACAAAGGTACACCAAGACAAACTATAAGTGTAGGTGGGCTAAACAAAAGAATCAGAAACAAAGGTAGAAAAGTTGGTTGTTTGCAATACATCAACAACCACCCGTGAACTTGGTTTACAGCAGGAGACACAAAAAGAAGTAGCCACTGCCCAGCCACAACACCAAGCCGTAAGCTACTGCCAGGGAGAGAAACAGAGGACCGTTGGGAGACAAGCAGCTTTTGTATTTTGTTTGTATTGCACTAAAATAGTATGAGGACAAGAGTAGATAGTTGTAGTAATTAAGGCTATGTTGCCAATCCTAGTAATGTAATTGTAGTATAAGAAGTAAGAGACTAGTAAGAGGAGGGTATCCAGAAATTTGTAAAAGGAACCTTGGAGAGTTATGGCCTAAAGCCATATTTATCTTTTGAAGCTTTAAGCTTAGCAATCAAACAACAACCTTTCGACTTATTTATTGTCTCAAACGCTAGTCCGTTGCACTGTTGTCATGAATAAAATACAAAAAGATTTCATTGAAAACTGTGCTTCAATAGAAGGATGCATGTACCTCACAAAATCAATTAGTGGATGGCTGGACACATATGCAGCAGCTGAACAAATTCGTGTATTAGCATTATTTTGCCAATTCATCATGAAACATTTGTGCAAGAATAAATATCAAACTCTTCGTGAGATTCGAGCACATGATCTGATTTGAGCTGACATTTCAAACCCTCCAACATACAGAAAACCTCATTCATTCTGGAGTTGGTAGTGTCATCTGCTTTAAAGCTGACGACTTCATTCCCTATCTCAATCCAGCTGTATCCGGGATTTAATTGGAGATCATGAAACATTATTTTGCCAATTCATCATGAAACATTTGTGCAAGTATAAATATCAAACTCTTCGTGAGATTCGAGCACATGACCTGATTTGAGCTGACATTTCAAACCCTACAACATACAGAAAACCTCATTCATTCTGGAGTTGGTAGTGTCATCTGCTTTAAAGCTGACGACTTCATTCCCTATCTCAATCCAGCTGTATCCGGGATTTAATTGGAGATCATGAAACATTATTTTGCCAATTCATCATGAAACATTTGTGCAAGAATAAATATCAAACTCTTCGTGAGATTCGAGCACATGATCTGATTTGAGCTGACATTTCAAACCCTCCAACATACAGAAAACCTCATTCATTCTGGAGTTGGTAGTGTCATCTGCTTTAAAGCTGACGACTTCATTCCCTATCTCAATCCAGCTGTATCCGGGATTTAATTGGAGATCGGTGTCCTTCATCATTTTCCAAACTTTTGCCACCTGATCCCACATTCCAACCCTTGCATACAACTTTGCAAGCTGCACATGGGTGGCAGCACACGAAGGTTCTAGTGCAAGCCTGTTCTCAGCAGCCTCTATACCAATCCAAACATTATCATGAAGCCTACACGAAGCAAGAAGCGAGCCCCATATGATGGCATTGGGTTTTATTGGCATGTCCAAAATTAAATTTCGGCCCTCATCAATCAAGCCAGCTCGACCAAGAAGATCAACAATACATGAGTAATGGCCCAAATCAGGCTCCACACCATATGCTACCATTGAATCAAAATACATATGACCTTGTTTAACAAGACCAACATGACGACATGATGAGAGAACACCTAGAAATGTAATACAGTCAGGCTTCATTTTCTGCCTTTTCATCTCCTCAAAGAGATCAATTGCTTTCCAAGCTAGTCCATGCAACGCATACCCTGAAATCATGGAATTCCATGAAACAATATCTTTATCATGCATTGACTCAAATACAGAAAATGCATCTTCAACATCACCACACTTGCAATACATTGAGACAAGAGCATTGGCAACAGGAAGATATGAATCAAAACCCGAAAGAATGGCCAGACAATGAACACTCTTTCCTTGTTTAAGAGAGCCGTTACCTACACACACACTCAAGAGACTTGTTAGTGTATAATCATTAGGTTCAAGAGATGAATGTCTCATTTGGCTATATAGCTCCAAACAGACATCAACTTGGTATTTTTGAGCAAATCCAGATATGAAAGCAGTCCATGATACAACATTTCTCACAGGCATCTCCTCAAACACCATCGAAGCAGAGCATAAGTCCCCACACTTCGAGTACATGCTAATTAAAGAACTTCCAACATAGACATTTACAAACAACCCATTTCTGATAGCTAAGCACTGAAGCTGAGTTCCACAATGAAGATTCCCTCTATAGCCACAAATACTTAGTGCATGTGGAAGCAATGTGACATCAATTCTAAACCCTTCTCTATGTAGTTTAAAAACCCCTGAAATCACATCATCCTTGAAAGAGAAAGATGGAAGCATTTGATCAGGAGGATTTTGGTTTCCGAAACATGCATTTGCAAAGTCATTGGATGCTTTAACTTCACTAAGATTTTTTGAATGCGTTTGAAGCAAGTCCTGAATAAGTTGAAGATGGCAATGTTGGTTATTACTAACATGGGTGGGTTTTGGAGACACAAGATCAATAATTCTCAATGCCTTGTTCAGACTTTTGACATCACTGCTTTGTTTTAGTCTGTGAATACTGAAGCTCCTGAATTGAAAAGGTGTCTGCAAAATTGTTAAGTATGCTGTGGATTTGAAGAATGCCCTTTTACACTTCCAATAGCACCAGGAAATATTCAAGATGTTCATCCCTAAGAAAATGAAACCAGTCCCATGTTTTGCTCCCTTTCTCGCAGAGAGCTGAAGTCACTTAAATCTTCGAGAAATAAAGCTTGGCATTTCCAGCTCAATTAAGTAATGTACACTGCAGCACGGTGTTGAATGATTTTGTCAAGTAATGTAAAATGTAACAATGGTTAAAACATTAGAATATAAAATGTAACTTAGGTTAAGACATAAGAATATAAGATGCACAAATAATTTGTGTCAAGTTTAAAATAATACTCACATTATTAGTAACAGTACAAATGCAGATAAGTCTGTTAAACAACAGCTGAGTGAATGCTTCTCTGATGACAGTTTCTTTAGCCTGGTTAAATGGAATGTTGACCAATATTTACAGATACATTTATGTTTGAAGCTAAGCAAAGCTAAGCTTGTACTGAAACGCTTGCGAGCAAACTCAAGCCAATTAAACTTGTTAAATATTTGGAAACTTCGACATAATTAGACTTAACAATGGGCCATTATACAAGAATAAACTGATCAAACTAAGAAACTACACAAATATATCTATATCCAACTACAAAATTTCTTAAACAATTTTTTTAGTAATCAATCAGATGAGACAAGATTAGAGCATTCAAGCTACTCCATGACAAACAATCACAACAAAATACGCATACCCATTACCCTTTTAAGAAAAATAAAGGACCAGCATGTTTGCATAGTTTCATACTTTCATTGAGGCATTTAATCAAACAGGTAGCGTGCATTACAGTAGCGCGATTCAATAGCAGATCAAAAGTCATAGAAAGTTAATGTAATTGAAATTGTAATGGGTCTGAAATTTACCAATATTAGTTGATTAATGAGAGAGCAAGCTAAGTAGGTTGTGCGCTTAAGAGTGCTCCACCGATGGTATCTGCCGCGCCATCGGTCATAAGCAGCCGCCTGTTATTGTTGCAGCGACCTACTTATTGCTGCTATTACTATTGTTGTGCTTGAGAAATGAGAAGCAGCAGATAAACAATCACAACAAAATATGCATACCCAAATATTCATCAATGCTTTAGTTGAAGACTGTTAAACTTTCTTGCTCTTCCCTAATGTATTGAAAATTTGAAACTGTACCTTGGACTATTTTTATTTAGAGTAATCAGTTTACTACTAATAAACAGCCTTTTCTTTTTATTTATTTTTGGAAATTTTGTGAAAAACCACCCACTTAAAACATATTTTTGTGGAAATCGCCCATAATAAAAAATATTGTAAAAAATCACCTAAACTAAAAAAAATGTTGCAAAAAGCCACCTACTGCCAGAAACAGATTGTTGATCATATTTTCCGGCGATTACCGCCCTCCCTTGCTGTTGATCACCCGTCCCATCCCCTTAAAAACCCCTAGAATTCACCGAAAAACATTTGATCGCCCTTCCCCCTCCCCCTTGAAAACCTTTAAAATTCACTTGAAACAATGAAAAACCCCAAACCACCATCGGAAAATGTGGTTGGAGTGATTTTCAAGGTGGAAGGGGAGTGAATATTAGGGGTTTTCAAGGGAGGAGTGAATGTTAGGGGTTTCGAGGGGGAGGGCAAGGGGCTGCCAAACTTTTCTGATGAATTCTAGGGTTTTCTAGGGGTGGGGAGTGTGGTCAGCGCCGGGGAAGGACGGTCAACGACCTGTTTTTAACAATGGGTGGCTTTTTGCAATATTTTTTTTTAGTGTGGGTGGTGTTTTACAACATTTTTTATTGTGGGTGATTTTTCACAAAAAAGTGTTTTTAGTGAGTAGTTTTTGACAAAATTTCCTTTATTTTTTAATTTACTCCTTTCATGGTTCGTTTAACTAGACTTTATCATAATTAAAATAAAGTTGCACATTATTATTTTATAGATTCTCAATATATTCACGTCCCTTATTCAATGAGAATATTTTTTTTTCCTTAGTTTTATCTAGAGTTGTCAATTCGGGTAAACGGGTCAGGTAAGAGTGGGTCGGGTCACTCAAGTCAATTTAGATTAATTCCATACCTATGCGGGTCGGATTTGGCTTGGGTCATGCTTGAAGCGGGTCAAGTCGGATCATACTTCTTATCGGGTTTGGGTCGGGTTTAGGTTGGGTTAATAACAAGTCGTGTTACATTCGGGTCGGGTGAACAATAGGTAGGGTTTTCAGGGGTTAAAACGGGTTAGGGTAATTCTCGGGTTCAAGTTGGGTTCGGTTCAAGTCAATAATTTGCGGGTTAGAATCGGGTCGGGTCATTCTCGGGTTTGAGTCGGGTTCGATTCAAGTCAATAATTTTTGGATTATAATCAGGTCGGGTCATTCCCGGGTTCAAGTCAATAATTTGCGGGTTATAATCAGGTTGGGTCATTTCCAAGTCGGGTCATTCTCGGTTTCAAATCGGGTTATGTTCAAGTCAATAATTTGCGGGTTACAAGTCAATAATTTGCAGGTTACAATCAGGTTGGGTCATTTCCAAGTCGGGTCATTTCCAAGTCAGGTCATATTCGGTTCAACTAACTATAAATAGATAATTATCATTTTTATCAAGCTAAGTATTTCCTTTGACTATTATATATATGGAAATATTATACTAGGGAACTATAGTCTATAATTTAGGAAGATAATTATCTCCTTTGAACATATAACAAATACATTGTATATACTATATTGAACTCTTAAATTTGAGGATGATGCTCCTTTCTTTCGATGGCCAGGACCGACTTGGTCTCCCAAGACAAAATGTTTTGATCAACGATAATAAGGTGGTCTAAATTGCATTTAAGGTGATTTGAAATCGGGTCAGGAATAATTTAGGTTGAATTTAGGTCAGGTCAATAACAAGTCGTGTTAATTTCGAGTCGAGTTAATAACATATCGGGTTGAATTTTTGGGTTAGGTAAGTAATAGGTATGGTAAAATTCGGGTCGGACAAATAACAAGTCAGGTTGAATTTGGGTCAGGTCAATAACAAGTCGGTTGATTTCGGGTTGGGTTTATAACAGGGTGGGTTAAATTCGGGTCGGGTTAGTAACAGATCAGGTTGAATTCAGGTCAGGTTAGTAAAAAGTCGGGTTAAATTCGGATTTTGACGAGTTGAAACGGGTTTGGGTCAATTTCGGTTCAAGTCGGGTTCGGTGCAAGTTAATTAAATTGGTCGTTGTAAATCGGTAAATCGGTGCAAGTTGTAAACCGGTAAATTGGCCGTTTAAAAGCAAATTGAATGGTTTCACACACCCAATTGGACTCCAGGAGGATATTAGGGACCATGGTAAACATTTCGACAATTTTTATTTCCGGGCAAAAAAAGTCAAAAAATTCTAAAATAAAAGGCTAATATCCACGCTTTTTGATAATTAAATTTTGGAGGTTTAGTGGCCCGGTGTCGAAAAGTCTTGAAATTCTATGGAATACATCTTGGAGTCATATAATGCTGTTTGGGGCCATATATGTCATTATTTATTGTCATAAATGTTCGTGGTAGGCTTGAATTAATGAAATCGGTGCAAAGTTGTAAACCAATAAATTGGTCGTTTAAAAGCAAATTGGATGGTTCCACCCACCCAATTGGACTCCCGGAGAATATTAGGGACCATGGTAAACATTTCGACAATTTTATTTCCTGGCTAAAAAAAAAAATCAAAAATTTTCAAAATTGAAGGCTAATATCCACGCTTTTTGAGAAATTTTGGAGGTTTCAGGGCCCAATGTCGAAAAGTCTTGAAATTCTATGGGATACATCTCGGAGTCATATAATATTGTTTGGAACTATATATGATCATTATTTGTTGTCATAAATGTTCGTGGTAGGCTTGAATTAATGAAATTGATGCTAGTTGTAAACCGGTAATTAAATTGGTCGTTTGAATACAAATTGGATGGTTACACCCACCCAATTGGACTCCTGAAGGGTATTAGGGGTCATGGTAAACATATCGGCAATTATTATTTCCGGTCGAAAAAAAGTCTAAAAATTCCAAAATCAAAGACTAATATCCACACATTTTGAGAAATTTTGGAGGTTTCGGGGCCCGGTATCGAAAATCCATGAGATTCTAGGAAATACATCTCGGGGTCATATAATGTCGTTTGGAACCATATATGATCACTATTTGTTGTCAATAATGTTCGTGGTAGACTTGAGTTAATGAAATCGGTGCAAGTTGTAAACCGGCAAATTGGTCGTTTTAAAGGCTAATTGGATGGTTCCACTAACACAATTGGACTCCCAGAGGGTATTAGAGACCATAGTAAACATTTCGGCAATTTTTATTTTCGGGCAAAAAAATTTTTTTATTTTCGGGCAAAAAAAAGTCGTTCTAAACGGCAGTATATGACCCCGATATGTATTCCATGCTTTTTGAGAAATTTTGGAGGTTTCGGGGCCCGGTGTCGAAAAGCCTTGAAATTCTATGGGATACATCTCGGAGTCATATAATGTCGTTTGGATCCGTATATGATCATTATTTGTTGTCATAATTGTTCGTGGTAGGCTTGAATTAATGAAACCAGTGCTAGTTGTAAACCGGTAAATTGGTCGTTTAAAAGAAAATTGGATGGATACACCCACCCAATTGGACTCCCAGAGGTTTTTAGGGACCATAGTAAAAATTTCGGCAATTTTTATTTCCGGGTGAAAAAAAGTCAAAAAATTCTAAAATTGAAAGCTTATACACGGTTTTTGAGAAATTTTTGAGGTTGGGTACGGTGTCGAAAAACCTTGAGATTTTAGGGAATACATATCGGGGTCATATACTGCCGTTTAGAACCATATATGATCATTATATGTTGTCATAAATGTTCGTGGTAGGCTTGAGTTAATGAAATCGATTCAAGTTGTAAATCGGTAAATTGGTCGTTTAAAGGCAAATAGGATGGTTCCCACCCGCCCAATTGGACTCTCAGAGGATACTAGGGACCATGGTAAAAATTTCGGCAATTTTTATTTCTGGGCGAAAAAAGCAAAAAATTCCAAAATTGAAGTCCAATATTCACGGTTTTTGAGAATTTTTGGTGGTTTTAGGGCCCGGTGTTGAAAAGTCTTGAAATTTTAGGGTGTACATTTCGGGGTCCTATAATGTCGTTTGGAACCATATATGATGATTATTTGTTGTCATAAATGTACGTGGAGGTTTTTACATGTATAATTCTCGTGTTGATTTAGGGTATCTTCTCTTTATCAGCTTAATTTTAGTGTCGAATTCCAAACCAATTGTGGCAAAGTGGAAACACGGAACCATCTTAGCCAAATCAATACTCTGTATATTGTATAATGTTACAGCCTGAATTATATATAATTATTTAGGATCATGGGTCTGGCCATGCATGGCCTGGGCAGGCCACCCCCTAGGTCCGTCTATGATATTGGTGAATTAGTTTGGGTTGATTTGTTAGAGTATTTGGTTGATTGTGTGACATTATATATAAGTGTTGTTGTGACCCCCTCAATATTATAGCGTTATATTTCTCATTATTTAGTACAGTATTATATTTTAAACGGCTATTTCACCAAATGCCATCGGACTTTTCAGAATTCACCAAATGCCACTGAGTTTTTAAAAAATTCACCGAGTGCCATTAATGACTAACGGCAGTTAACTCCGTTAGTCATTAAGGCTAATTATGCCACGTGGTGGCTTATGATTGGTTGCTTATTAAATTAGTAAATTAATTACTTAATAAAAAACTTAAAAAAAAAATAGCCACCATGACCCAGTCCCAACCACCGTCTGTCACTGCCACCACCATATCTCCGCCTCCAGCCAGTCCCCACCGCGGCGCAACCCAGCCCTGAACAACCGCACCGGCGACGACACAACCCAGCCTAGCTAACCCGCGCCAACGACGCAACCCAGCCTAGCCAACCCACGCCGACGACGCAACCCAGCCTAGTCAACCCAAGCCGACGACGCAACCCATCCGCGATTCACAAACCCTCTTTCTCCCTCGACAATCCCTCCCCTCCCCACCGCCGATGACCAAACTCCCCCCCCCCCCCACGCAGGAGAACCCAAATCAGTTCATCCCCTTCGAGCTCCACCCTTTCAACCATCACGCCGGATCCCTTAATTAAAAACCCCAAAATCGAAATCTAGGGTTTCGACACCTTAAACCCCCAATATCGATTTTCCTTAATTCGAAGCCCCTTCCCCGCTCCGGCGAACCCAAACCAGCCCTTCCCCTCCCATCTCCACCCCCTGAACCACCTCACTTAAACCCCAAAATCGAAAACCTTAAAATCGAAATTTAGGGTTTCGATTTTGGAGATTTCAATTTTGGGGTTTTAGGGTGTCGATGATGGTGGTTTAAGGGGGGGAAGTGGATGGAGATGGTAAGGGTAGGGGGAAGGGTGGCCGCCGACACCAAAGAGGATGTTGGTCGTCGGTGGGGGTGGGGGCAAGGGGTTGGGCTGACGTAGGGGCGGTGGTGCCGTGGTGCGGTGGGAAGAGTGGCTGGGGTTTTTTTTTTGTTTTTTTTGTTTCTGATTTAATTTTTTTTTTTTTTTGAAAACTTCTGATTTTAATTTTTTTTGATAAATAAAATAATAATAAAGTGAACCAATTAGAATACACCACGTGGCATAATTAGCCTTAATGACTAACGGAGTTAACTGCCGTTAGTCATTAATGGCACTCGATGAATTTTTTAAAAACTCAGTGGCATTTGGTGAATTTTGAAAAGTCCGATGACATTTGGTGAATTTTTAAATTACTCAGTGACATTTGGTGAAATAGCCGTATTTTAAAATTTTAACAGCATACACATATATTGTCGCTTTGATTATTACGCAGTATTACGACAATAATACTCAAGTACTAATAATAAATAATTCAATCAAATTTATCCCTCACAAACTCTCGTAGTCTCGTAATCAACTTTAACAAACAAGAAACTAAGCTAGAGTGGTAGAGACTAGAGACCCCCAATAAAAAATGAAAATAGGAAAAACCCCCAATCGTAGCGTGAAAAAGGCAGTAGCTTTGGAAGGAGAGAAAATGAAGACCCGCCGCAATCTGTGTATCGAGGATTACCATCGCTATTACAAAAATCCACTCGCCACTCGTTTAACCATCGTCCAACTCAATCAGGTAATGTATTTCAATCCATCTCCATTTTCATTTCATTTCATTTCTCCATTTTTATTCTATGGTTTATTAATACATGAATTATGAAAAAGGTGTTCCATATGCACGGATTCATGAAAGTCGACAAGAAGCGTCAGAAGGTTCTGGAAGCATTGGATGGATTTGATCACACCATGTTGATGAACCCTATTCGTTCTTCATTATCCGATACTTCTTCATCACCTCATCTTCCTCTTTCCATGGATCAAGTCAACGATGACCTTGACTCTCTTCGATGGCGCGATGATCATCACAATGCTGCCTTTACACTTCAATCTCTCAACTCTTTCTCCTTCTCTAATGATCATACCCAGCTGCAGATCACTACTTGTGGGAAGAGGAAGAGGAAGAGGAAGAGGCTCAGGAAGCCGAAGCCGAAGCCGAGGAAGGTGGTGTTTAACCCGGTTTATAAGACGAAACCCAGGTCTAAGAAGAATGTTCAGAAGAGAAAGAGTCTTGCTGATTGGGGAGTTACTCACTGTACATCCATTAGCTCTTCTCTTTGTAATCAGGGTTGTGCCTGCTAGCTGTTTGTTGATATGTCTGACTGAAAATATGATGGTCATGACTACTACTTGTTGCCCAAATGATTTAGGCCCGTTGTTTTAGCCGAGTATTTATACGTATTATAAAACCAAAAGCTTTTAGGAATCAAGTAAGGGTAAGGCTGCTTACAATTTCGAATTTCTCTATATTTTTTTATCAAGTAATATTTTGTAGACCGTTCTATTACTTCTATAGAATTATAAAAACTGGAACCAACTACAAGTCTAGAAGATTTAGTTCTTGAAAATTATAGAGCATCATAGCTACAAGAATGATAAAATAATTCTCAAGTATTCTAGTAATTTCTTTAACCTCTATTTTCAACTATAAATATTGGTGATTTGCATTCATTCAAGACACATACAGATAATGGGAAAAATCACAAGGGATCATTCAAGCGTTTATGACTTATAATTAATTATTAATGAATTAACTTTACTAATAAAAAAAATTCTCATAATCAAAACTGTTTAATAATATTCTTAAACTACAGTTCGGTAATTAGAATAGATTTATAAACCTAGTAACTCATTATATTTTTTATAATGACTAACAACTCCAAAAACCGAAAACAGATCAATTTAAAATTTGTTTCACCTCCTAGTTACAGTTTAAACACACATCAATTAGATGGTAAAAAAACTCTATGCTAAACTCTGTAATTAACACTATTAATGTTAGCTTTCATTTTTAATAATTTGTAAAGGATAAAAAAAAAATAGAATACTACGTACAAAAAATAAAAAATCATAAAATTTTTAAAATATCTAACACTAAAATATATCCGATAAAATATTAAAATAATTGGTATTACAACCAACTAACATTATAATTCGACACTACGTATGGAATTACACGTTGGAATCTGACATGCGGTCTTTAATGCCACCATATACAGATTATAGGGTTCAAATCTGTAGTCGGGTAGTTGGCTCAAATATGTAATCGGGTGGTAGTAGGTTATCGAAAGAGTTTCCAGGTATATTAGATTCTCCATGTTTATCTTCCATAGTAAACAAAATGTATTTGCACTATGTTTTTTAACAAAATGTAATATATGTAAGTTGTACGATACCTACGAGCAGTAAATATAAAGATTGAATGGTTAAAAGAAATGTACATAAAACTTATAATACTTTTACGTAGTAAAAGAAATAGTGGAATTAAATTGAATTGGATAGAAAAAAATAATATGCAATTGACACTTATTAAGAATCGAACTTAATTGGGACTAGCGTCCTTATATTTGCCAAAAACTACTACAACCGTTCAGATATAACTAAACAAAGCAATATTTATGCAAAGATTAAATTTTATCCTATGCCAGATTTGAATATAAAGGGGCTGGCAATTGGGCCATGGCTCCGCCCTTGCCATAGATGAAGTCACTTTGAAAGTTTGAGGCCGGCACGAGATACTGAAATAAAGCTTTAGCTTGGTTCGTGGAGGCGGATGCACGATCCGTATGGTGCATCCGCCCCAAAGTACAAAAAGGCGGAATAAACATGCAGGTATATACTAATGTACATGGGCATATAAAAGAACAAAGTGTTCATTTATAATGTACATAGATATATACATAAAAGAACATGGTGTTCATTTATAATGTACATCAGATTTTTGTGCAACAATTTTGTATATTATTTTTGTAAAATAATATAATTTTTTTTTTGTATAATGAAATAGATAAATAGTACTATAATTTTTTTTTACCATACATTAATTACGATCATTTCAATATTTTTTTAACCAAAAATTCACTTTCTCTCTCCAAACAAAAACCCATTTAAATTCCACAAACCTCAAGCAAAATTTCAAGAAATTCAAAATTTTGAGTCCAAAATTGTTCAAGATGAAATATTAAAACGAAAGGTAAGGCCAAATTCGACATTCATACTTATTTTTTTGACATTTATACTTGTTTATTTTGAGTTTGAGTGTGTGTTTTTTATAAATTTGATTGAAAATTGTAATATTATTTGATTTTATTGGGAATTAATTTTGATTTTGATGTTATTTTGTTGTTGCAATGAGAAATAAAATGAAGTTATTGAAGAAGATCGTCCGATTAATCCATTTTTAAAGAAGAAAGCAAGCAAATAGACAATTTTAGAAAAAGTTGTAGATTCAAATAATACAATGTACATTTAAATACATTAAAATGTTCTTTCTTCATATACTTACATGATGCAAATAGTACAATGTACATTAAACATGTAACTAACATTATAACATATATGTTCATTATAATATAATACAATGTACATTATAATACAATAAAATGAACTTTTTTATATGCATACATGGTCATTTATACCAAATGTATATTTACTATATGAATAATGTTCTTTAATATTATGATGTTCTTTATAAAATAACTATATGTTCTTTATAAAACAACTATATGTTCTTTACTGAACATTACTGAACAACTAAATGTTCATTCCGCCTGAACACCACTATAGATGTATTCACCCTGAAGGTTTGAGGCCGGCGCGAAATCCTGAAAACCACCATAAATGAATTCACCCTGGTTTGAGGCCAGCGCGAAATCCTGAAAACCACCGTAGATGGAGTCACCCTAAAGGTTTGAGCCATCAAAGTTACACGGAAGGTTCCAGCCATCGATGAGTTTGTTATGGTTAACCGACTCATAAGCATAACCTAAAGATTGGTAATTGTTGTTGGTGGCAAAGAACGTGTAGAAACTACTATTGGCGGCGTTGTATCCGCACTCCAAATAGTTGTTAACAGGTGGATCATTTAATAAGGTTTGTTCATTATTATTAACGTTTGCTTCCTCCGAATTAGATATTTCTGCTTCTTCATTTTCTGCAACTTCTACTGCCTTTTTTTTTTTTTTTGGCTACTATCTTCAATCTTCAAAGTTCGACTCACCTTGACCGTATTTTATAATCTATACAATCAAAATAAATTAACTTTTTAAATATTTTACTTATACATAGCCGAAGTTATTAATGGTTCATTAAACACCGTGCAAATATAAAGTGAGTCGAACTTCAAGAACAGAGAGAGGAGTATATTTTTAAAAAATAAAAAATAAAAAATTCTAACATACGTACCATCATACTAGAATCTTGATTATCTCGTTTTCTCTTAGGTGTTACTTTGGGTTGATCATCACCGACTTGTAACTCAAGCATATGCCATTGCGTCTTATAATCCTTATCGCCCTTATTCTTTTTATTAGGGTTTATTATAAAATACACCAAAGCTCTTTGGTGTCCGATCAATGTACCATCATTGTCCTTGACTGGTTTATCTACTCCCCCGTAGCCTTCCAATACCCGTCTCCGGCTTTTCGATCGGGACGCTTCCCATTCTTATATTTTCTGTTTCTTGAGCTCAAAAAATACCACTTTTTTATTTTTTCCATTCCCTTGTGGTTTGAATTTGGATGCATGTTTAAATCACTAAAACAAAATTAATTAAACTAAATAAGTTCATGAAAGTGTCAATAAAAATATATGCCTATGGTGCTTCGCTATAAAAAAAAGTAAATTGTCATAGTCTAGTTAAAGGACCCACTTCAGCGCGATAAAAAAAACTTCAAAAAAACCTACTTAAAGAACCTTCTCACGAATAAATGAGAGAGTGAGGGTAGCTCAAGTGGTTAGAGCTTCCCTCCCGATTCCAAGAATCTCTTGGAATCGATTCTCACCCCGTTCTTGTGGCTCTCTATACACCAAAAAAAATAAAGAATAAATAAATTGGATTACATCCCTTATATATAGAGAGAGAGAGATTAAAGTCAAGAAAATCAACAATTAGCACATAAATATATCTATGATGCGCGAAAAATATGTAATTTACAAGTTTAACAAGATATTATATGTAGATTTAAACATCATATACGTAGTACTATTCTTACATATAAAGACCGAGACAACTCTAATCTGCATATGGTATTCCATCCATGTTAGAATTTTCTTTTGTCAAAGAGCTATACATTCTAGCCTTCTAGGTATAATATCAATACGAGAATTTTATTAATTACATTTACATCCGGTTGACCAAATATATGTGTGTATAAAATAATCTCATTCACTTGGTTTGTTGAGAACTTGATTGAGAAGGAATGGTCCGTCTCATGGATCAATGTATAAAATAATAATCTTATTCTTAATATATAGCAGATCTTGGACCAAAAAGAATGGAAGGTCAAGATTTAAACCTTAACTTCTAGCTAGCTAGTAAGATTATTATAGATATCTAGCTAACTATTATTGATACATAAATTTTTATACGTAGTATATCATATCAATATTATTAAAGGCAATATATGCATTAGTACGTCTAATAATTCTAAGTATAATTATTGGGGGTCACACACTCACATCTCTATGAGTCTCAATAAAGATCTTTTTGTGTTCATTCTATAGTTGTTTCATTTGACTTTTCAAAGTCAATATTTATTAATTTTGACCATATTTTATTATTATTTTTTTTTAATATTTATGCGGCAGTTCTTCGCAATATCATTTGCCCTTTTAACTTGGTCTCTTGACACCTTTAGAATAGTGCAACTGAAGAAGGAAGTACCCAACTCTTTTATCTCATTTACCGTCCATGATATCTCTAAGTCCTTTTCTTTTTCGCCTCTAAGGTTATTGACGAGGCTGATCGAGTCAGACAGGATAAGGATACCCTGTTTGCCCTGGGACTGGGCCCATTTCATCCCTTCCAAGCATGCCCAAGCTTCACAATGAAGGGCTGAGTTCGCGGCTCCGTGTCTACCTCCTTCCCTTGTCGTCATTGCTAGCCCATTTCCCATGACTGACCAGCCAATCCCTGCCCTCTTTGTCTTTTTATCCCAAGAACCATCCACGCTTACCCTGAAGTTTGCAAAGCCCTCCTTTACTCGTCCCAATTGAACATGATTGAAACCTGGAGGGGGCATGTTCCCATGTCGTTCCTCCTCCATATTCTCATATTGTCGGTCCTCCTCATTTGTGAAGGTCTCATGGTCACTCATTGCTTGAGCGATGAACTCCTTCACCAAGCTTCTTCCTCCAGTCCTACCATCAAAGCACCTCGCGTTTCTTATTTTCCAAATTCCCCATAGCGTTGCTATGAACAGGGTAACACGGGGGCTATTCTTACCATCCTCGCTATTAAACAGCAGGATAAATGATTGGATCCAATCTCTCAGTGAGTCAAATCCAGTAGAGTCAGAGCAAATTGCCAGAGAGCTATGTCCCCAGACTTCCTTTGCTAGAATACATAATCTGAAGATATGTTGGGTATCTTCGGGGTCCTCCTCACAGTAGCCACACGTTTCGTCCATAGGAATACCCCTATTGGCCAAGTTAACCTTTACGACAAGACCATTGTGGTAGAGCTTCCATAATAAGACCTTCCATTTAGGCTGGATATTCAGCCTCCAAATCAGCTTTACATAATCCTGGTCCTTGTCATTATTAATGCCGCTTCTTGCTGATTCTTGCTCTCTCATAAGGAAGTAATATCCCGTCTTAACCGTGTATCTTCCCGAGGGGTGGAACTTCTGACAGGGTAAAGTCGTATCCCCTAATAAAAAATAATTACCTAAATCACTAACTAAGGTAGATAGGGAAGTAGGGTCGATCTCCACAGGGAAACTAGTCTTTTTACTCCTAATTAATATTATAATCTAAATTATTTAAGTAACCAATATTTATAGTTGAATAAGAAACTAAACTAAGAAGAGTAGGAATAGGGAGAAAATAATATATGAAGGATCTAGGGCATAGGTTCACCAATAAATAATACTCCAGGGTAAAACATAGTAATCAATCATTGACATTGCATAAATAACATGATTAACAGGCTCTCGCAATTTATTAATCAACATAGATCTAACAGGCTCTCGCAATTTACTAGATCTAAGTTCTTATTGAAAATAGCCTTTAATATCAAATTAACATCTGCTCGATTCATCAATTTAATATTGCTATACTTTTACAAGCCGCAATTGTAAAACATTAAAACAATTCAATAGGAAATTATCATGCAATATCAATAATCAATAATAGTTAATCATCAATGCATCAATTAACCAGATTGTAAAGGGCTTTCGCTACGTATTACAATCACAGAATTAATCTACCGGTATTAAATCTCATCTCTCGATTCTTGACTTAACCATTTATAAATTAACTTGCCTATTGAAACTAGACCTAAACATTAATTCTCATCTCTCGATTCTTGAATCAATATTGTCAAACTCATGCATAAAAGATAGGCCTAATCTAGTCACAGAGCATTAATCCAATCAATAGGAAATTAATCTAGCATTGATAATCAACAACAATAATTTACCCCTTCATATTATTTATTAGATCCCCATGAACCCTAGAAATTAAACTACTCACACATAATTAGATATAAACTAAACAAAACAAATAAATAAATCATGATCAAAGGAATAAAATAAATAATTAAGATTAAGGGAAGAGAAATCGTTACCAAAAAAAATCTGGAATTAATGAAAAAATTAAGAACAAAAGTTTAGAGAGAGATTAAGAGAGAGAAAACTAAGTAGTGAGAGAAAGTCTAAGAGAAGAGATTAAGAGAAGAAGAAGAAGAAGTTCTAAAATCATATTACGGAGGAGTATTTATACCCCGTACAAAAATCCTAAACCAAAGCAAATTAAAACGACGCTAATCGTCTCCTAAATATACACGCGCCCGATCGGGCGCGCCTTTTTTTTATCTCTAATAGCAATCTCGCGTCCAGCCGGGCGCGTCACCGGGCGCTTCTCCCGCCCGGCCGGGCGCGCCTCAGGGCGCCGGCCTTTTTGGTCGGGCGGATCATTTGGGCCACTATTCGGAATTTGATTGGGCTCCAATTCTTCGGACCAACCTGGGTTTCCTCTTTGGGTCTTGAATACTCGGTCCAAATGCCCCGGTATCACCTATACTGAGCCCTTAGTCACCGGTTCGATGTCTCTAACCGGCCCTGGGCTATAAACTCTGTTCGTGTTTCTCCAATGCTCGTGATTGCTTCAAAATATCTCGGGAAAATACTCCAAAAGAATAAATCCCTGCAAAAGTCAACCAAATCTACGAAAACACTGGAAAACACCAATTAGTAATAAAAGTGGCTCTAAAGAGCCAAAAACACTACTAATTATGACCAAGGGACGGGGGTAAAATACTATATAAAATAAACACATCAACTTCCAATAGATGAAGTCATCTTTGTTTGTAGAGGGAAGCTCCATTGACAAGATAGACCTTGCACTGTCCCATTCAAAGCATTATCTTACCTTCCCCGCTTTCCAAGTACTTGTTTCCTCATCGATAAACTCACTAACCTTCCAGCCCCTAGCCGCCCTTAGAGTTTGGTTAGCATTAACAACTGGAACATCTCCATTGACCCAAGGCATGCTGATGACCTTAATAATATTTCCATTCCCAGATTTCCAAGCAAACCCATTTCTAAAATCCTCTTTAACCCTTTGGATGCTTGATCTCCCCATTAAGGGATTTCCTTTTCGAACATAAGGGGTAGCTATTGAGCATATCTCGCAAGCCTGCAACCCTTTGTGCACCCTAGACAGTAACAACTGTGGGTTCAAATGCATCCTTGTTGCTTGTTTGAAAAGTAGGGCTTTATTAAGAGTTGAAGCCCTTCTGATTCCTAGACCTCCCATGCTTTTAGGTAGCTGGGTGATAGTTTTACTTACCCAATGCATACTCTTGTTCTCGTTGTTGGACCACCGGAACCTAGTAATGAGAGAATCCAGTTTGTTGGTTAAGCTTAGTGGGAGCTTAAGGCATTTCATAACATGGGCAGACATGCTAACCAAAACTGTATTGATGAGGACTAATTTTGCAGCTTGTGCCAGCTTTATAGGGGCCCAAGACATGATTTTCCCCGCTACCTTGTCAACCAAATACTGGAACGACTGGTTTTTATTTCCTTGAATGTCGATTGGGGCTCCCAAATGAGTCCCCATATTATCAGTTTCCGACATAGCAAGAATTCTTCTCATTTCTGACTTCATACCATTATCTGCCCCTGGGGAGAACTTGACATGGGATTTTTGTAGATTTAACTGCTGACCTGAAACTGTACTAAACCTAAGAAGAATCTCCCTTATTCACTTGCAAGCCCCTTCATTTGCTTTAAAGAAAAGCATAGCATCATCAGCGAAAAATAGGTGTGAAATGGATGGGGATCTCCTAGAAACCTTCAAACCCTTGAACAGGTTAATATCCTCAGCTAGGCCTAGAATTCTAGAAAGTATATCCATACAAAAGATAAAAAGGTAAGGGGAAAGAGGGTCCCCTTGCCTTAGACCACATTCTGGTGAAAAATGTTCGGTTACTTTCCTATTGATGACAGCTTTATAGCTTACAGTCGCTATACATTGTGAGATCATCCGAATCCAGTGCGCTGAGAACCCATACTCTTGTAGGACCTTAAGAAGAAAGAGCCAATCTACCCTGTCATATGCTTTTGACATATCAATCTTCACACCGTAAAGTTCGAGCCCTTTTTTGTGTTAATAAGATGCATTAGCTCATGGCTCAGGAGAATGTTATCTTCCATGTATCTACCCGGAATAAAAGCATGTTGGTTTTCCGAGATCAAGCTTGGAAGAACTACCTTTAGCCTATTAACTAGACACTTCGAGATGCACTTGTAGACTGTGTTATAGAGACTAATCGGCCTGAATTGGTTAGCAACCTCGGGCACCTTTACCTTTGGGATTAAAACCAAGAGAGATTGGTTCCATTCTTTAAGAATATTTCCCGTCCTCAAAAATTGATGGACACTCTCCGTTACCAATTGTCCCACCTCCTTCCAGTAGACATGAAAGAAGTCCGCAGTGAACCCATCCGGCCCCGGCGATTTAGAACTATGGATATTAAGCATAGCCTTTCTTATTTCTTGATCTGTAAAAGGCTTGTCTAACCATTCCCGATCAGTGTTTGTGAGGTTGGGAATATCCAATTCCCTAAGAAGCAGATCGATATTCTCTCCATGATGTCTTTGAGTATTTGGCTTGTAAACCTCTTTAATTGAGTTCAAAACCACCTCTTCCACTTCTTTCCGCCCTTCGACCCATGTGTCATTTTCATCTCTCAAAGTTACAATCTCATTGTGTAACTGTCGTTGTTTCACCTTCCTATACATTGTGGGGGTCGAGCAGTCACCATACTTGATCCAATTTGCTTTCATTCGTTGTTTCCAAAATTCGAAGCTCAGCTGATTCTCTGGAACTAGTTGATTTATGAGATTGATATACTCTCCCCCTTCACTAACTGAGTTGATACTCATTCCTGTGTCATGTATATCATTCGTGACTTTCCTCCAATTAACTCCCCATAGTTTCTTGTTTTCCAAACACCAATATTGCATATTTGTTCTTACCCTCGAGAGTTTCCTTGCCACTTGGAACATAGGTGAGCCTTGAACTTCCACCTTCCATTCCCTTTCCACGATTTCTTTTATTTTCGTGAAGCGAAGGCACCAATTTTCAATTTGGTATGGCCTATTAGAATTGTTGTTGAACCTCTCAGAACTATAGGTGATCGCTGCATGATCAGAACAGATAATTGGTTCATGCACTACTATACCATCCGGTGAATGTTGGAACCATTCTTCCGTTATGTAGGCCCGGTCTAACCTTTCCAAAATGAGCTCATTCTCATCCCTTTTGTTGCTCCAAGTAAACCTTGGTCCCGAGAAAAGGACCTCCGTAACATTGCTACTAAATCTCCAATCTAAGAAAGAATTTATGCCTCTAATTTGGGTCGTGCCTCCCATTTTGTCAGTTCCACTTTCTACTTGGTTAAAGTCCCCCATTACTAGAACATTTTTGTACTCTTCCAAAATCCATTGAATTTGTTCCCAAACGATTGTCCTATTTTCTACTTGAGGCTCACCGTAAAGAAACAAGACATACTTAAACCTTCCATTAGCTTCATATATTTTAAATAGGATAAAATTCTTAGTAGCATACAAACATTCAACTACGTTACTAGACCAACCTAAAACTAGTAGACCTCCACTACTTCCATTCGAGTCACAACCAACTTCCATTCGAGTCACAACCAAAAATTGAAGTAGGGTATAACATACATAATTTACTAGCCGCATTAACAAAATCCATTTTTGTTTCCGAGATAAACAAAAACATAGGTGACTTAGACCGATAGAGCCACACTAGATAGGGAATTGCAAGGGAGTGTGGATCATTCAAGCCCCTACAATTCCATGCCACCACTTTCATATTCCATTTGTAGGCCCCTTGGAGTCGGCTGCCTCACCATTTGAAGAAATCCTTACTGATTCAAAGATTGAGATTTGCAAATCAATGTCCATGTCATCCACTATAATTCTTAGAGCGGAGGTCACCTCCTCACTCTTTTTCCTCTTAAATGATTCTGATGAAGAAGATGAAAACTCTTGTTGCCTTTTGTTCCTTGCCTTCCTTTGAATATCGTCATCAATTTCGACCCCTAGAGCATGAGCCATATCCGGATCCGAGAGTGCCTTTGAGGCAAATTTCCTCTTGCCTTTGCCATCCTTCTTCCATATGTTGAACCCTCCCTTTTCGGACCACCTATGTAGCCTTTTGAGCCTTTTCCTTTCCTCCCAAGTTTTATCCGATTCACAAAACCGAACCGAACCATCATCACAAGAGTGCGGGAGATGCCCTATTGCTTCCCTTATCCTTTCCTTGTTGTTAGCTCTATCATCATAGTTAAACAAATCAGTAAAATTGAAAGAGCTAAGATGAGATACCGGAGTGTTCGGTGGGTCGGACTCCGTAAGAGGTAGGTTTGGCAACCCTCCAAGATCCTCCGGCGAGAGTTGCAAGAAGGGTGGGTGATGCCTCTCGCAATCCGGTGCAATTCCCTAATTTCTTCCCTTCTTGCACTTCGGATTCCTAAAGCAAGAATAGTGCTTGCTTCCATCACACTAGCATAATCCGCATCCGATAAAGTTTCATCACTATTCCTCCTTGTTGCCACAATAGCCGAGTTCATAAACCCATTTTGCACAGCTAAACCCTGCCCATTGTCGATGTGAACACCGTCCCTATAACCTGCCAAGTCCATTTGATGCTGCTCGGCCCACACCGGGGCTGCTGCCCACTCTGAGATCCCAAGAGTGTGGAATAAAGATCCTTGTCCACCCCCTTAGTCGATCCTTTGTTGGGCTGAAGATGATTCCCCCACCTCATAAGTCGAGCCCACGAAGTTGGGTCGAGGTGGGGGAGGCGGGCTGCGCATCGGAGATGGTGGTAACCAACCACCCATCAGTCGGTTTGGGTTGCTTGGGCCCAAGTTAAGTCTCGTATCTCCACCTTGAACATCACTAAAAAGTTGCCTTCGAACGCTGTTTGAAGAGATACCCACATTAGGGTTAGGGTTGCTCTGCCTCGGCACCACAAACTCGGCATAGGGATCATTGCCTAAGCCGAGTCTTCTTCCAGGGGACCTCACTAAATCAGGTTGAACCTGATTGGTTTCCTCGAGTTCTACTAACTCAGATTCGTCAGTAGAAAAATCTTCATTTCTGGTGTGGAAATGATCACTCCCGTTGCTCTCCGGCGATGAAGAATGCCCCTCAAACGGGTGCTCAGCCTCGAATGCCGCTTCTTGGGGCACCCTCATGAAGATCGGATTGTCTTCCGGGTGGTTATGGTGCCTCAAGTCCACCCCCGAGTTGCGAAACCTTTGTCAGTCAGGTAAGCCTCGTATGAAGTTCGAATAAAAGGGGTATTCTCTTGGGCCATAGAGAACCCTTATTCCGTCAGCCTCGACTTCATCTAGCCTTCTCCTAACACGTCTTCTTGCAGTGACGGGGTGAAGGAGGCATCGAGACGTGGCGTGTCCTACGCACCCACACAATTTGCAGAATTTGAACAGACCCTCATACCTTAGGTAGACCCATATAACTCTATTCCCTTCCAAAGGTATGAAGCACCCCGGAATTGGTGGGATTGATAGATCCACAAGGACCCTAGCCCTTAGTTCCGCTTGAATTGGTAGATCTTCCCCTTCGAGATCTAACTCCTCTATGTAGCCCACATGCCTAAATATCTGTCTTGCCCACCCTTCCGTGAGATAGGCTAAGGGTAATCCATAAACCCTAACCCATAGCCTTGTTAAAGAAAATCTCATTTGATGTGGCACATAGTCAATCTAATATTGCCTGAAATTGATGAGCCTTCCATCAATATTCGTCGTGCTAACCCATACTAAGGCTTGCTGATCTTCTACCATACTACATTCGAATAAGAAGTAAGGTCCCGACCTGTAGACCCTTATTTCCCCACTTCTTATCCATCTTGAGTTAACAATTTGTTGCACCAATGGGGCCGAGGGAGGATGAGGACCTACGAATAGGCCTATCACACTCAGGTTAAAATTAATATTGATATTGTCTACATTAAAATCTGGAGGATAGGGAATTAAAGGCCCTCCTCTTAGGTCTATGTCTTCTTGTTCGTTATTGTTATTCGGAGATTGATTGGTATTACTCATATTAGAACAGGGAGAATGGAAGAAGAAGTTGTAAGAAGAGAATTAAAGACTGGAATAGAAGTGAAGAAAAGACAGAAGAGAAGAATTTTGAGTTGAGTATCAATGCTGCAGTCTCTTTCGCATTTATAATCGAAACAGTAGATCTTGGAAGACGAAAGAATTTGAGCGTGGGGAGCAGGGGGTTTCGTGTAAATAAACTCTAAACAATAGCTAGCCGACTCTAGCTAAATTTTCTGCACCAGTAATAATCAGAGCAATTAATGCTAAAATGTTATTGGCTGCATGGAGCGGCAAGGAGGCGCATAAGCTTTCTTGGAATAGCAACTTACTTAGTAAAGGTTGCTGCCTTTAATTGCAATTTGAGAAGTTTTGTATGATAACAGGAAAAAAAAATTCGGACAAAGAAAAAGAGGGTTTAACCCCAAACAGAAGAAAAGAGATTGCAAGATCTCCAACCTAGGAGGAGCTATACGTAGCCAAATGCTCAATTACTTAATCAAAGAGGAGGATAAAATCTGCATGCATGCAGTATCTTCAAGCTGGAGCTTGATGAACTCTAGCAAAGCTAGGAGGAGCTCACTTTTAGTGAGAGATGCTCTCGTTTAGAGAGAGAAAAACCAAGAACACTTTGACTCTGTTCTTGACCATATTTTATAGTTAAAGGAAAATTACATATTTTCATATAGAATACCTTTAAATTTGTTTTAATGTATGTGTTGTTTTTTTTTTTTTTTTTTTTTTTTTTTTTTTTTTTATATCAACATAATATAAACTTTAGGATTAAATGTATTATATTCAAACAATTAAATATGCATTTTAAAGACAGTGAAAAAATGAATAGAGCAACTAAGACAATGGTGGATATAGCTCCCCATAAAGGAGTCATTTTTCTTACCACCAAATTAGTTTATGTACAACCTTTAGCCTCAAATAAATGAGTCAAATCAAAATGACTTCAACTCACAACCACCATAAAAATTCCAAAGGAAAATTAGAGCCAACAGATAATAAATTTAAACAATCACTAAAAAATCTCTGGTGAAATTCTAATATAGAAAATCTAAATTCCTTGTATTACGGCTCCAAATCTAATAATGCCAAGCTCAAATATTGGCTAACAACAATTTTACCAGACCATTCTCCTTTTTGTCAAACAAATTCTCATTCCTACACCCAATAAAAAATATAAAAAAAATAAAAAAAATTTAAAAAATCATCAAAAATAATGTATTTGCATGATACCAAAGTTTTGAATGCATTGGCAATAATAATCTATATAATTCTTGTTTCTAATGTAAACATAGGTGAAGGATATAGTTCTCATCATGAACATCAAGGTACCATCCATAAGAACGTCATAGACGCGCCTCTCCTAACGGGGAAAATCGGTGGTAATCGAACGATCGTGGTTGATGTTAATGGCAATGGAGATTATAAAAGTGTTCAAGCAGCAATTGATGCAGTTCCTGTAGGAAATTCTAATTGGGTCACCATCCATCTTAGAAAAGGAATTTACAGGTTAACATTTTCTTTATGTACATCATAACCATTACATATATAGGGGACGTAAGTTTGCAACATAAATTCTTAACCTCGATCGTTTGAAAATTTTACAATAATCCTATAAATAATATAATTTGTAAAATTTCCATAGGCTTGTACACTTGTACGTATCCTTGATTTCACCTTAAATAATTTAATATGTTACTAAAAATTCATTAATTTACAATGATTACCTAAGGAAAATGTATGTGATTATTTTATGAATAATTAATCTTAATAATTATATTATGTGCTTTGGATTAATAGGGAGAAAGTACATATACCCCGCAATAAACCAAAGATATTCTTGAGAGGAAATGGTAAAGGTAGGACCTATATTGTTTGGTCTCAAAGCTCTACCGATAACATTGAGTCTGCAACATTCAAGGTTGAAGCCTCAAATTTTGTTGCATTTGGAATAAGTTTTAAGGTAATGTAATTTCCTAAACTAGAATATTTTATTAAATTTTCAATTAATTTAGTTTTAATAACTTGAATTGTTATAATATACAGAATGATGCTCCAACTGGAGAAGCATACACCTCACAAAATCAATCAGTGGCAGCATATGTAGCATCAGACATGGCTGCATTCTATCATTGTGGATTTTTTAGCACACATAACACACTCTTTGATCAAAAGGGTAGGCACTATTATCAAGGTTGTTACATCCAAGGCTCCATCGACTTTATCTTTGGTCGTGCCAGATCCCTTTTCCATGTACGTGTTTTCTAGTTTAAACTTTATTTGTCGTGGTTAGTTGGTTACATTTAATAATAGTGTATGTACTGTCTACACGAGTGGAATACCTAATACATCTAAACATTTACTAATCAATTGTAGGAGTGTGAGATCTTCGTGTTGGTTGACCGGAGGATAAAGATCCATGGTTCAATTACAGCACAAAATAGGGAGAGTGCAGATGAACCAAGTGGATATGTGTTCAATAAAGCAAAGGTTTATGGAACAGGACAAGTTTATTTGGGTAGAGCTAAAGGTGCCTATTCTAGGGTGCTCTTTGCAAATACATACATGTCTGGAACTGTTACATCGGAAGGATGGACTAATTGGAGTTACGATGGATCCACCGAGTAAGTCATTCTGTCATTGTCTTAGTGACAACTTTTTCTGAAAATTCTAAAATATAATAGCATGTACTATTAATTCCAAGCAAAGAGAGCATATCCATTGGGAAGTTATCACATTACGTTTAATTTAGTAGTTAAAACGAGTTTAAAACCCTATAAGAGACTTGATAAAAATCGATTATTGTTCATGTAACAGCAACTTATTTCATGCGGAGTATGCATGCCATGGACCTGGATCAGGCACAGGGGATCGAGCTTCGTGGAGTATACGTCTAAGCGACGAAGAAGCAGCTCCTCTTCTCACCATAGACTTCATTGATGGGAAGCAATGGTTACCAGCATGGATTGATTAATGTGTTTTTCATGTAATTAAATTAATTAGTAGAGCTTTTAAAAATTAAAAAGATTTAATGATGAGAGAGTTGTTTGCATTGCTGCTTAAATTTGTACGAGTACTATATATATACAGTATACACTGCTCCCCTAAACAAGCTAAGGAAGAGATCCATACATCCAAGGGCTTTCATATAAATTAATTACTTGATCATACTTCCTTTAATTTGTTGAATTGACTACTTGGATTTTTGGTTGTTTATTTACCAGTAACTACTGAGTATGTACACATGCACATATTCTTTTCTTAAAACTTTGAGCTTAAAGTGAATTGTGTGGTAATAAAGTTATAATTAATTAACGACTTTCAAAAGGATTTTTCATCATATTTTTTTGAAATTAAAAGAGTTCAATTAGTTTTGCTAAATGCACATAAGTATAACATTTCAATAGACAATTTCATACAAAATTTAAAAGTAAATGGTTAATTAGGTCATTCTTTTGAAATTAAATGAGCTCAATTACTTTTGCATATTTTGAAATTAAAAGAGTTCAATTATTTTTGCATATTTGTGACCACATAAGACATAACCATTCTAGGTCATTCTTTTTGTTAGCCTTGAATGTCCCTTACAAAAATAATGAAATATCTAAGTTTCAACTAGATACGTAGATCAATTCAATGACCTTCATCTGCACTATCCCCCACCGGTCTTTTGGTATATGAACCATGTTTAACTAAATATTTGTTACGTTCTAGAGAAATTAAGGTTCAGTATCACAAAAATTTAAATTTTATACCAATTTAGCTAATTAGTCCTTAAATCGGACTAAAATAATGTGTAAGAGGTAGAGCTGTCAATTCGGGTAAACGGGTTGGGTTTGGGTCGGGTCAATTCGAATAAATTCCATAACCTATGTGGGTCAGGTTTGGTTGGGTCATGCTTGAGTCGGGTGACACTTCTTATCGGGTTTGGGTCAGGTTACATTCGGATCGGGTGAACAATATATCGGGTTTAATTCAGGTTTTCACGGGTTAGGGTAATTCTCGGGTTCGGTTCAAGTCAATAATTTGCGGGTTAGAATCAGGTCGGGTCATTCTCGGGTTTGAGTCGGGTTCGGTTCAAGTCAATAATTTGTGGATTATAATCGGTCGGGTCATTTTCAAGTCGGGTCATTCTCGGGTTCAAGTCGGGTTCAAGTCAATAATTTGCGGGTTATAATCAGGTTGGTTCATTTCCAAGTCGGGTCATTCTCAGATTCAAGTCGGGTTATGATCAAGTCAATAATTTGCAGGTTACAATCAGGTCGGGTCATTTCCAAGTCATGTCATATTCGGGTTCAACTAACTATAAATAGATAATTATCATTTTTATCAAGCTAATTATTTTCTTTGACTATAATATATATGGCAATATACTAGGGAACTATAGTCTTTAATTTAGGAAGATAATTATCTCCTTTGACCATAAAACAAATATAAACTATATTTAACTCTTAAATTTGAGGATGATGCTTCTTTCTTTTGCTAGCCTGGACCGACTTGGTCTCCCTAGACAAAATGCTTTGATCAACAATAATAAGGTGGTCTAAATTGCATATAAGGTGATTTGAAATCGGGTCATGAATAATTTGGGTTGAATTTAGGTCGGGTCAATAACAAGTCGTGTTAATTTCGAGTCGAGTTAGTAACAGATCGGGTTGAATTTTTGGGTTGGGTAAGTAATAGGTCTGGTAAAATTCGGGACAGGTCAAACAAGTCGGGCTTAATTTGGGTCAGGTCAATAACAAGTGTGGTTAATTTCGGGTCATGTTTGTAATAGGTAAGGTTAAATTCGGGTCGGGTTGAATTCAGCTAGGTCAGGTAGTAAAAATTCGTGTCTTGACGGGTTAAAACGGGTTTGGATCAATTTCGGTTAAAATCGGGTTCAGCGCAAGTTCATTAAATTGGTCGTTGTAAACCAGTAAATCGGTGCAAGTTGTAAACCGATAAATTGGACGTTTAAAGACAAATTGGATGGTTACACCCACCCAATTGGACTCGCGGAGGGTATTAGGGACTATGGTAAACATTTCGGCAATTTTTTATTTCTGGGCGAAAAAAAGTCAAAAAATTCCAAAATTGAAGGCTAATATCCACGCTTTTTCAGAAATTTTGGAGGTTTCGAGGCCCGGTGTCGAAAAGTCTTGAAATTTTAGGGGATACATTTCGGAGTCATATAATGTCGTTTAGAACCATTTATGATCATTATATGTTGTCATAAATGTTCTTGCTAGGCTTGATTTAATAAAATCGGTGCAAGTCGTAAACCGGTAAATTGGTCATTTAAAGGAAAATTGGATGGATACACCCACCCAATTAGACTCTCGGAAGGTATTACGGACCATGGTTAAAATTTCGGCAATTTTTTTTTCTGGGCGAAAAAAATTCAAAAATTGAAGGCTTATATCCACGATTTTTTAGAAATTTTGGAGGTTTCAAGGTATGGTGTCGAATACCCTTGATATTTTAGGGAATACATCTAGGGGTCATATAATGTCTTTTGCAACCATATATAATCATTATATGTTGTCATAAATGTTCATGGTAAGCTTGAGTTAAAGAAATCGATGCAAGTTATAAAGTGGTAAATTGGTCGTTTAAAGGAAAATTGGATGGTTCCACCCAGCCAATTGGACTTCCGGAGGATATTAAGGACTATGGTAAACATTTCGGCAATTTTTATTTTCGGGGCGAAAAAAAGTCAAAAAATTCCAAAATTGAAGGCTAATATCCACGCTTTTTTAGAAATTTTTGAGGTTTCGAGGCCCGGTGTCGAAAAGTCTTAAAATTTTAGGCTATATATCTCGGGGTCATATAATGTCGTTTAGAACCATTTATGATTATTATATGTTGTTATAAATGTTCTTGGTAGGGTTGATTTAATGAAATCGGTGCAAGTTGTAAACCGGTTTATTGGTCATATAATTGCAAGTTGGATGGATACACCCACCCAATTAGATTCCCGGAGGGTATTAGGGACCATGGTTTAAATTTCGGCAATTTTTTTTCCTGGGCGAAAAAAAGTCAAAAAATTCCAAAATTGAAGGCTTATATCCAAGCTTTTTAGAAATTTTGGAGGTTTCGGGGTACGGTGTCGAATACCCTTGAGATTTTAGGTAATAAATCTCGGGGTCATATAATGTCGTTTGGAACCATATATGATCATTATATGTTGTCATAAATGTTCATGGTAGGCTTGAGTTAAAGAAATCGGTGCAAGTTATAAACTGGTAAATTGGTCGTTTAAATAAAAATTGGATGGTTCCACCCAGCCAATTAGACTTCCGGAGGATATTAGGGACTATGGTAAACATTTCGTCAATTTTTATTTCGGGTCGTAAAAAAGTAAAAAAATTCCAAAATTGAAGGCTAATATCCACGCTTTTTCAGAAATTTTTGAGGTTTCGAGGCCCGGTGTCGAAAAGTCTTAAAATTTTAGGGTATACATCTCGGGGTCATATAATTTCGTTTAGAACCAATTATGATCATTATATGTTGTTATAAATGTTTTTGGTAGGCATGATTTAATGAAATCGGTGCAAGTTGTAAACCGGTTTATTGGTCATTTAATGGCAAATTGGATGGATACACCCACCCAATTAGACTCCCGGAGTGTATTAGGGACCATGGTTAAAATTTCGGCAATTTTTTTTCCTGGGCGAAAAAAAGTCAAAAAATTCCAAAATTAAATGCTTATATCCACGGTTTTTTAGAAAGTTTGGAGGTTTCCGGGTACGGTGTCGAATACCCTTGAGATTTTAGGGAATACATCTCGGGGTCATATAATGTTGTTTGGAACCATATATGATCATTATATGTTGTCATAAATTTTCATGGTAGGCTTGAGTTAAAGAAATCAGTGCAAGTTATAAACTGGTAAATTGGTCGTTTAAAGGAAAATTGGATGGTTCCACCCAGCCAATTGGACTGCCGGAGGATATTAGAGACTGTGGTAAACATTTCGGTAATTTTTATTTTCGGGCGAAAAAAAGTCAAAAAATTCCAAAATTGAAGCCTAATATCCACGCTTTTTCATAAATTTTTGGCGGTTTCGAGGCCCGGTGTCGAAAAATCTTAAAATTTTAGGTTATACATCTCGGGGTCATATAATGTCGTTTAGAACCATTTATGATCATTATATGTTTTTATAAATGTTCTTGGTAGGCTTAATTTAATGAAATCGGTGCAAGTTGTAAACCGGTTTATTGGTCATTTAAAGGCAAATTAAATGGATACACCCACCCAATTAGATTCCCGGAGGGTATTAGGGACCATGGTTTAAATTTCGGCAATTTTTTTCCCTGGGCGAAAAAAAGTCAAAAAATTCCAAAATTGAAGGCTTATATCCAAGCTTTTTAGAAATTTTGGAGGTTTCAGGGTACGGTGTCGAATACCCTTGAGATTTTAGGGATTACATCTCGGGGTCATATAATGTCGTTTGGAACCATATATAATCATTATATGTTGTCATAAATGTTCATGGTAGGCTTGAGTTAAAGAAATCGGAGCAAGTTATAAACTGGTGAACTGGTCGTTTAAAGGAAAATTGGATGGTTTCACCCAGCCAATTGGAATTCCAGAGGATATTAGAGAAAATGGTAAACATTTCGGCAATTTTTATTTACGTGCGAAAAAAAGTCAAAAAATTCCAAAATTGAAGCTAATATCCACGCTTTTTTAGAAATTTTGGAGGTTTCGGGGTACGGTGTCGAATACCCTTGAGATTTTAGGGAATACATCTCGGGGTCATATAATGTTATTTGGAACCATATATGATCATTATATGTTGTCATAAATTTTCATGGTAGGCTTGAGTTAAAGAAATCAGTGCAAGTTATAAACCGGTAAATTGGTCGTTTAAAGGAAAATTGGATGGTTCCACCTAGCCAATTGGACTTCCGGAGGATATTAGAGATTATGGTAAAAATTTCGGCAATTTTTATTTCCGGGCGAAAAAAAGTAAAAAAAAATCCAAAATTAAAGGATAATATACACGTTTTTATTAGAAATTTTTTAGGTTTCGAGGCCCGGTGTCGAAAAGTCTTAAAATTTTAGGGTATACATCTCGGGGTCATATAATGTCGTTTAGAACCATTTATGAATATTATATGTTGTTATAAATGTTCTTGGTAGACTTGATTTAATGAAATCGGTGCAAGTTGTAAACCGGTTTACTGGTCATTCAAAGGCAAATTGGATGGATACACCCACCCAATAAGACTCGGAGGGTATTAGGGACCATGGTTAAAATTTCGGCAATTTTTTTTCCTGGGCGAAAAAAAGTCAAATAATTCCAAAATTGAAGGCTAATGTCCACGCTTTTTCATAAATTTTGGAGGTTTCGGGGTACGGTGTCGAATACCCTTGAGACTTTAGGGAATACATCTCGGGGTCATATAATGTCTTTTGAAACCATATATGATCATTATATGTTGTCATAAATGTTCATGGTAGGCTTGAGTTAAAGAAATCGGTGCAAGTTATAAACTGGTGAGTTGGTCGTTTAAAGGGAAATCGGATGGTTCCACCTAGCCAATTGGACTTCCGGAGGATATTAGAGATTATGGTAAACATTTCGGCAACTTTTATTTACGTGCAAAAAAAAGTCAAAAAATTCCAAAATTGAAGGCTAATATCCACGCTTTTTCAGAAATTTTGGAGGTTTAGAGGCCCGGTGTCGAAAAGTCTTAAAATTATAGGCTATACATCTCGGGGTCATATAATGTCGTTTAGAACCATTTATGATCATTATAATATGTTGTTATAAATGTTCTTGGTAGGCTTGATTTAATGAAATCGGTGCCAGTTGTAAACCGGTAAATTGGTCATTTAAAGGCAAATTGGATGGATACACCCACCCAATTAGACTCCCGGAGGATATTAGGGACTATGGGAAACATTTCGACAATTTTTATTTCTGAGCGAAAAATATCTAAAAATTCCAAAATTGCAGGCTAAGATCCACGTTTTTATTAAATTTTGGAAGTTTCGAGGACGGGTGTCGAAAAGACTTAAAATTTTAGGGGATACATCTCGGGGTCATATAATGCCGTTTAGAACCATTTATGATCATTAAATGTTGTCATAAATGTTCGTGGTAGGCTTGAATTAATGAAATAAATGCAAGTTCTAAACCGGTAAATTGGCTGTTTAAAGGAAAATTGGATGGTTATACCCACCCAATTGGCGATCTGGAGGGTATTAGGAACCATGGTAAACATTTCGGCAATTTTTATTTCCAGGCGAAAAAAATCAAAAAATTCCAAAATTAAAGCCTAATATTCACGATTTTTGAGAAATTTTGGAGGTTTCAGGGCTCGGTGTCTAAATGTCTTGAAATTTTAGGAGATACATCTCAGGGTCATATAATGCAGTATGGAACCATATATGATCATTATATGTTGTCATAAATTTTCATGATAGGCTTGATTTAATGAAATCGACGCAAGTTGTAAACCGGTAAATTGGTTGTTTAAAGACGAATTGGATGATCTCACCCACCCAATTGGACTCCCAGAGGGTATTAGAGATCATGGTAAACATTTCGTCAATTTTTATTTACGGGTGAAAAAAAGTCAAAAATTTCCAAAACTAAAGGCTAATATCCACGATTTTTGAAAATTTTTGAAGGTTTAAGGGCCCGGTGTCGAAAAGCAATGAGATTTTAGGAGATACATCTCGGGGTCATATAATTCCGTTTGAAACCATATTTGATCATTATATGTTGTCATAAATATTTGTGGTTTGTTTGAATTAATGAAATCAGTGCAAGTTATAAACCGGTAAATTGGCTGTTTAAAGGCAAATTTGATGGTTCCACCCAACCAATTGGATTCCCGGAGAATATTAAGGATCATGGTAAACATTTTGACAATTTTTATTTTCGGGCGAAAAATAGTCAAAAAATTCCAAAATTGAAGGCTAAGATTAATGCTTATTGAGAAATTTTGGAGGTTTCGGGGTCCAGTGTCGAAAAGCCTTGAAAATTTAAGGGATTTATCTCGAGATCATATAATGTCGTTTGGAACCATATATGATCATTATATGTTGTCATAAATGTTCGTGGTAGGCTTGAGTTTATGAAATTGGTGCAAGTTGTAAACCGATAGATTGGTCGTTAAAGACAAATTGGATGGTTCCACCCAGCCAATTGGACTCCCGGAGAATAGTAAGGATCATGGTAAACATTTCGACAACTTTTATATTCGGGCGAAAAATAATAAAAAAAATCCAAAATTGAAGACTAATATTCACATTTTTCATAAATTTTGAAGGTTTTGGGGCCTAGTGTTGAAAAGTTTTGAAATTCTAGGAGATATATCTCGGGGTCATATAATGTGATTTGGAACCATATATGATCATTATTTGTTGGCATAAATGTTCGTGGTAGGCTTGAATTAATGAAATCAGTGCAAGTTGTAAACCGGTAAATTGGTCGTTTAAAGGCAAATTGGATGGTTCCACTCACCCAATTGGACTCCAGGAGGGTATTAGGGACCATGGTAAACATTCGACAATTTTTATATCCGGGCAAAAAAAAGTCAAAAAATTCCAAAATTAAAGGCTAATATTCACGCTTTTTTGAGAAATTTCGACTGTTTCGGGGCCCGGTGTCAAAAAGAATTGTGATTTTAGGGGATACATTTCGGGGTCATATAATGCCGTTTGAAACCATACATGATCATTATATGTTGTCATAAATGTTCGTGGTAGGCTTGAGTTAATGAAATCGGTGCAACTTGTAAATTGGTAAATTAGTTGTTTTAAGGCAAATTGGATGGTTCCACCTAGCCAATTAGATTCCCAAAGGTTATTAGGGAACATGGTAAACATTTCGACAATTTTTATTTCCAGGTGAAATAAAGTCAAAATTTCCAAAATTAAAGATTAATATTCACGTTTTTTGAGAAATTTTAGAGATTTCGGCCAAGAGGTGCCAGTTTGGTACGCTTTTTGTACTTGGTATATTGGACTACTAGTTTTTACAAACTTTACCAATTACCATCCTTAAAATTCAGCCGAAAGGGTAAAGCCCAAGGTGTGAGCCAAGATGCAATGCCCTAAAATAGAACCAGATTACAAAAAAACCTTCATTTCCAAATAACAGCAGTTCATATTTTCATACAGTGTTAGGCTACTCTTTACTTTGAAGAAAAACCCAGTTTTCAGAGAAAGAAGAGAGAGAAACAATGGAGGGAGGAGATGAAGGAGTTGATAGAATGGTGGATTCTAAGGATATGCAGCAGCAAAGTAAAGCTTTCGATAAGCTTACTGATCGTGTCGAAGATCGTCAGCTTGATTCTTCTCGTGTTCAAACGGTCTTTTTCTTTCTCCTCCATTTTTCCCACTTTTTTTTTATTCTACTTTTATGTCAATTAATCTGCTCAATTTCATGTTTTTTTTTTTTTGACATTTTTTTGATTAATAATGGTGGTTTGTAGGCTATGGCGTCGATTGCTGCTGCAGCTGAAGCTGATGCCAATGCTATGAGATTGAGGTTATTTATTTATTTATTTATTAGTTGCTGTGATTTTAATTTTGTAGTTTTCTGTAGAATTGAATTCTTTTAGCAATGAAAAGTTGGCGTAATTCATGGAAATGTTGGTTTTAATTGCGTTAGATAAAAACATTAGGGTTCGAATTGAACTTGATTAGTGATGGAATAGTGTTGGGGAATAGAAAGATTTTGAAGATTAATTGAAATGGAGGAGATGTGGGAGTGAATATTTTGGTTATTGTTAGGCAATTTAACTAGATGATGACAGATATAAACTTTACACCCAACGGCGACAACTCGACGAGGTTTTGAGAAGTTGGGAAGAGTGATCACTAGAGTTTTTGAATTTTTTGTAAAAATATAGAATGCTCTCTTTGTCTGTAAATGATGTCGAGGATGAAATGAGTTGGTGATGTTACAAGACTACATTCTCCGTGGCTTGCTCTTATTACTGATGAAGTGGTGATGGATGCAAATTTTGCAAATATCTAATCTGTACATTGCCAAATTGGTTGGCGAAGTAGTGCATAATTTGCAAAATGGTTGGCAAGTACAGAGTAGTGAGTAAGGATTTGACCACAACAAAGCAAAAAATCTTTATCAGGAAACTTTTGATAGCTACCAATGCTCCTATGTTGGAAGTTAGTGCCTAAGAAGTTAGATCTTTAGTTGGTCATGGACTTTAGGGCTGTAGCATGTCGTGGACTGAAATATACTTTAGGAGGGTCTTTCCTTCTCCTGAAATGAACAACTTTCTTCGTAGCATTATTTATGTGAGTGATGCCATCCTATTTAGGTACAAAGGTCAAATCATTTAGGACATCTAATATGTCATGTATTGCCTGTGGACTAGAAATCAGAATATTTCATTAAGTGTCATCGTATTGCTACTTATCTGTTGGTAGTATGTCCAAACTAAGCTGCCATCTTAAAGCTCATATGATGGATTGACTGGAACAGGTTTCAGTTTGGGTCCGACAGCTAACTGCAAATTATCTTCAACGATTATATATGGGTTTGATATTTAAGTATACAGTGGACCATTTGGTGACTAAGGATGAGTCTATCACTCAAGCATTCTTTTTAGGGGTGGTAAATACAAGTTTTAGTTGAAGATAGTTTGTCATTAAACTATTAAAGTACTAAGGTAAACTGGTAGACTAAGATCTGCTCCTTTTTCCTGGCTTGTTGGTTTTTGATGGACATACTACTAGAGAATTTTTGTAGAATTGACTTAGATTGTCATATTGTGGCCTTGTGGGTGTTTCCTTTACCATGGTACAGATGAAACTATGAAAGTACAACTCATCTGTTAATAAAGTTCCGATTTGTGTATGAAGTATAGGGTACATAGGTAGTTCATCATTCCAGGTGGTGAGGGAGCAAGGAAAGAACAGGCAGACCGTGGGCAGGCTTGTTCATGTGTATTGTGCACACTTTCAACTTTAGGAAAAGACACCCTTGCCTATGGGTGACAAAAATGAGGGATGAGGATCAATTTGACACTTGGACGCATTAAGCAACTAAACAAGACAAGTGGGGCCAATGAAGAGAATGAGTTATGAGTTACAGTGTAACACATGCCTAGGGAGGGACTAGGGGGCATTAAAACAGAGGCAATAAACAACTCATGTGCTAACTGCCAAGGTAGGAAGCTTTGATTTTTATTTAACTAATTATCATTTCCTTAGAGCTTTATTTTGGATTTAGCAATCAGTGAACACTGAGCACCAAAACTGTAGTAACATCTGTTGTAAGAGCACATCTTCTTTCCTCCAGTGTATCTTCTGGTTTTGTAAGGTAAGATATTTAAATAATCTAACATCCAGTTTTGTGGCAAGTCTTTGAGTACAGTTCAGTGTTTTTTGTTATGCTGGTATGGCAATTGGCAATATACCCTTTCCTATGATGTGTTTTTCCTCACTACTAAAGAACTTGTATTTTAGCTTGCTTTAAACATTAAGACCCTAATAATTCTATTGCCCTCTTTTTATAGCAATACTATCTTCTTTATGCTATATATATGGCCATGAGACTGAAGGGTGGACATGAATGCCGAGTTTCTGACACATGATGGATTATTCTGTGAAAATCAAACATGTCTATGGACAGTTAGATTTTATCATGCTTACCGTCAAGGTTGCACATGACTGTAATTTTACATACATGAAATCACAAAAGATGGTTAAATGTCTGATTAGTGTAAATTCTGTAAAAGTAAGTTCAAATGGTGCAATTGTGAACAAAGGAAGCACTTGCTTTCAGGACCAATTTCTTTTTTCTTTGTCAGACATTGTTACTTTTTTCTCTGGATTCCATGTAGAACGTGATGTATCATATATAGAGTTCATTGCAAAACTTGACTTATCAGGAACAATATATATATCTGATCACTTTCTGAGAGTTATGTCAAGCTCTTGGTTCTTTCTTGTTATTCTTTACTACTGTTATCTATGATGCAAGCATTAAGCATATTCAAATAATTTTCCACTATGATAGTTTGGGCCTGCTATTTCAATTCAATACGAGAATTTGGCCCTGAGTTGACCTATTTGATAAGATTGGCCTATGACCTACCCCTCATCTCTGTTACCAATCTTCATAGCTGTCATTTCTAAAATAGCATATACTTGGGTTCTTTTTATGATTGTCCTAAACTGACTCTCTTCCTTTTTCACCTGCTAATAGGGAAAAAGAATTGGCTGCTGTAAAGATCAATGCGGCTGATGTTGATGTTATTGCAAATGAACTTGAGGTTAATTTCATTATATAGCATACATTGAGGTTCTATTTTCTATGTTTAGTAATAATTGAAATCTTCTTCGTGACAGTTGGACAAAAAAGTTGCTGAGAGAACCTTGCGAGAGCACAAGGGTGATGCTGTGGCAGCCATACGATCCCTGCTTCACTAGAAGTTCTGTGAATTGAAGCAGATATGCATGCTGAATTATCCTAGAACATCCAATCTATTATACTTGTTTTTCTGAATTTTCATGGAAATTTTGTTTCTTGGGTCCTAGCTATGTGCCAGTGCCGGCATATTCCTTGCCTATTGGCAAAGTTGGTATTTGTATCCGTAGTTTGCTTTGCTACACAGTATTCTTGAATGACAAACCCAAAGCCAGTATGATGTATAAAGAATTCTTCAGAAGAGTTTTATGCTGATTGAGACAGATTAACAATTTAACATGGACCTATTTTCAGTAATTTCCCTCCATGTTTGTACAATACAATGACATCTTTGCTAATTGATAATCTAAAAGACTTGTACTTATTTTCTACTCGGTAGTCTTGGCGAGCTGAAAACCAGCTTGATGTTTAATTATCATATTTATTACTATTAGTTCCTTCCATATTTCATTTATGTTTTGGCCTAAATACAAATCTTATATTTATCATCTGCTTGCACAATCGCGGTATGACTTTGTTACTTGTTTGTGATGAATGTTTGTGCTTGGTTGCAATTAGTGTAGACAAAAGGTATTGGAAACCCTAAACATTACATTTCTTATATTCAGCATCTTCAACAATCACTGAAGTTTGGAAACTTGCTTGCATATTAGCAGTTGAATGTTGGTACTTGTTTTCTACAAGAGTAGACAAAAGTATTGCAAACCCAAAACAAGTACTAGGTATAATGTATAAAAGAATTTCTAGGATAAAGAATAATATAATCTACACCAATGACACAACTTGTGTGTGGTACAAATATTTACAATACAATGGAAGCGTTTTGTACAGTTCCATGCATCCAAGAGCTTGCACACGGCAAATGCTGAACACTACATTCTTTTCTATTTGTTTACTACCAAAACTTCAATAATATCAATCATCGCGAAAGAAGTCAATGCTTGCAATTCAATTAGAACCAACCGTCCCTGCAGCCATTTCAATCAATCAAGGTCTCTTTTCTGCTTTTTCATAGAGGCCATGATAATTTGGGATTAAATTCCAAGTGGCTATCAAGAATTATGGGCGCAGTAAGGTGATTACTGAATCCTTACTGAGGGCACCAGCAATCCATCAAAATTTACCAAAAGCTGTGCCAAATGAAATCAGCAACATATAAGAGTTAGCCAAGACTGAGGTGTCATAGTTCTTTCACGACAACATCTGCAGAACCAGTTTTGGCAGCCTGGAACTCGACTGCATATTGTCTCTGCAAATCCTTCAGCTTCTCCAGCAGTTCTTGAAATGTTGGCCGGCTTTGAGGATCACTGTAGATTAAGCAATAGTGGGCTATGTTAGTTCAAAATATACTATGTGTTGTAAGTCCCAAATAATCATCTAATAAAGGTAGAGAGTACATGAACCTCCTTTGGAGACCCATAAGGCCATAAGTAACCAAGTAAAGAATTAGAACCAAAAATATATTTCAAACTCATAACTAACTGATCTAAAATATATATATATTCTGATGGCACAGTAAACAAATAAATACATAACTAGAGGTTCAGATAATGCCCTTGGTCAAAAAAAAAGATAATGCCCTTGGTCAATAAATTCATTTGTAAATATTTTACTTAACTAGGATAACATCAAATATTGCATGCTATAGTTATTATTTCAGATTTCATACTTGAAGTCATAAGATATCTTGTACAAAGCATGATCTAATTTTTAAATTGTATGTAGATGACACGGAATAAAACACCCAAATTTTAATGCCACATTGCCCACATGGCACCTACTTAAGAATGCTTTTCAATATATTAGTACAGACAGATTCTCAGCAATGACTTGATCAAATTAATGCAAATGAATCAAGGCTAACACTGTATGGAAAGAGTAAAGGTTATTTAAAGTCATTGCATAAGCCTGAACAAGTATAAATAAGCAACTTGTTCGATAACCCAAGCCTATCACTTATCACTAATCGCTTCACTATGTGGAGGCATTAATGGCAATGATAATCTGATCAACTTTGGTCTACCGAGCAAGTTCTACTTCTGTTGGCTGATTGCCCCAAGTAGCATACTTGGATTAAAAAGTGTTGGAATGAGGGATAATAGGAGATAGAATAAAGAAAGGGAGATGGGTTGTGGTTGAGGGAGGAAGGAGCATGGAAATTGTGACCTCTAAAATGAAGGCAATAATCTCACCATCCCTCCTTTGACACAAAACTACTCCGTCCCATCCAACACTCCTTATCTAGACTCAACTAGCCATTTATCAACCAATGCACCTCCCCACAACCCAAATCCCCCCCCCCCTCTCCCCGGGAAGGAGCAGGCCCATGATGGAGACTATGAACTCTGAAGAGCCAAGAAAGAGGTGTAGCAGAATTCTGTTCAATTACAAGTCAATGCCTGTTAACAGCTAATATTTCCTACACTGGACCAACCTCATCCAGCTTAGAAAGAACCAAAGCATCTAGGCCTCTAGGTATCAAACCCCCAAAACTTCCACAAGTTCAGGACTTGCTCATGCCACAGACAGAGAGGTCTGCAAATTGCTACTGTTATTCCAGTGCCAGAATACATGAGGGAAAAAATGACAAAGCACTGAGACAAGGAACAACCTTTGCCAGCAGCTTTCAATTATGGAAGACCACCTCGAATCTACATCCTCCGGTATATCTAACCTTTGATTCATGAACCCAACAGCTCCAATCACCTGCATGCACCGGTTATTGCTCAGTGATTAATAAGAAAATATATAAAAACATATGCACATCTTCAAATCGTGAATACGATGTATTATGCCATGCGGGTGTGGCTATCAGGGAAAATAATAAACTAAACTTAATTTTAAAAATATCCGGACAAGTTAAAGCACCTTTACAATCACACCACAGGTGAGATATAAGTCATATAACAGAGAGTGGAACGTGTATCAGACTTTGGCTATCAGCAGTGAGAGTTGAAGAAAAGAAAGAGTGAAGATCTTCTTAATAAAGGGATTCTCATTATACTTGTCCTTCTCGCACTTTTCGGCAAAATAATTTGCTCTTTCTTTACAAGCAATTAAGAATGATAGTGATGGAAGCCGATGTGCAAAAAATAAACATAAAACTAATAACACACCCAATAACCGACACAAAGATTAAAAAAATTTTATTGTCCATGCCATCGTTATATGCATAAATATCATGTCTAGTATAACCACAGGGAATAGGAAGAATCCTACCTGCATTGCATTGAGATTTTCCCACGGAATCTTATGAGTAGCAAGCTCCCATAATATGACCCCAAAGCTATATATATCAGACCTACATATACCAATTGATTGGTTAGAAGAAATCATACAAGGAAAACAAAAGGCAAAAACATGTATCCAACGGGTATATTGTATGAAACAGGTTTAATCGTCCCAAATTACATAAAAGACTGATTTGGTTTTGGTATGACTAAGTAGGTTGTATACAAGATTTACTCTTAAATAGATTATACCTCAGAGAATACCTTCACCTAATCTAAAGAGAAAATATTTCCCCCATTTTTACGTAGTATTTACTTGACTAAAATCCTAAAGCTGAAATGTCATATTACTTAACCCAGCCATACTATACTTGGGAAGCTTTTGGTGATCAGATTCATTAAATTTTCCTTATAAAGTGCACGAGGGTACAACAACGAGCAAACCCAGGTTTATCACCTTGATAAACATTGATTATATATCATGCAGCAAAGTTGTAATATTTCAGATAAATCAAGGTAAAACCACTAACACTATTAGCCTTTTAACCTATGAACGGTATAGAATTTCGCAATTTAATTATAAGTTTGTCACTTGATAAACAATCAAAGTTTATCAAGGAGATAATCTTGTATTTTCTTGATAACAACTCATGCGCTTCCAAACAGTAATAAAGTAAATCATGTGCTCTAACTACACTTTCTCTCTCCTCTCCTAAATATTGAGCCAAGAGCTATGGGTCAAGTAAATAAAAATGGAGGAAGTGTGTGAAATAAACATAACAGCTATTAACAATCTGCTTACTTTTCATCAGCTTGCTCATTGCGAAGAACCTCTGGTGCCATCCATTGAGGCTACAAAACCAAAAAAAAATAAAAATGGCAACATTTAATGAAGATCTGACATGGAAAATCAGGTCGATAGCCACACAAACAACACAACAAGAATACAAAGGTATTCAACATACTGTTCCTTTTCCAGTCTTTGTAGTTAGGTAAGTTTCATGTTTCACACGTGAAAGGCCAAAATCAGCAACCTGCTCAAAACAACGTAAAAGTGTTGATTGGAGAGACTACTCTCTAAAGTCTAAAAGTCAGCAACAACAACAGAGACAAAATTGAGCAATGCCACACCTTAACCATCCAGTTCTTATCAACCAGAAGGTTAGAAGTCTTCAAATCACGATGAATAATAGGTGGGTTACAATTATGAAGATAGTTCATTCCTCGAACCTGCATACGATAGCAAATGAATATCTAATGTAAGCAACACTCAACCACAACTTAGGTTACAACTAAATCTTAGACATAAAATCCTGTGGGGAGATTTGAGCAGCATAATACTCAACTATGTCTATAGCCATGTGAAGCCGTCGCCTCCAATCCAGTTTGGCTGTACTCCTTTGTAGTAGACGAAACAAGCTTCCTCTGTATTAAACAAAAAGGTTTAGAAAGTTAATAAGCCTAGTGATTTTTGAGCTTTGAAAAGTGCAAAATCCAAATTTTCGCGCCTTGACAAGTGAAAAATTCAAAGAAATCAAATTCATAATATCTCGGAATAATACCACAACAAGCATCACAAGATATGGCCTAAATATCAAAAGGAAATCTTATTCAGAGGTCAAATTTGAATGGAAAGTTGAAATTGAACGAACCGTGGAAGAAACTCGGTGACAATGCACAGACGTTGAGGTGACGTTACTGCACCCATAAATAGTAGAATATTCGGGTGCCGAAGTCGCTTCATGAGGGACACCTGAATTTTAAATAATTACATTAATATTAAATAAGGAGAAAAAGATGTCAGTTTATGGTATAAGGAGATTAACTACTTTCATGTCAATAGTTTCAAAATGCATTTCATCACAACTGTATTCTGTTTTCGAAAAAGTGGTGTAAAAGCGATTACAAAAATCACACCAACACATTTTTGTCAAGAAAGAAATACAAATTCCAAGACATAAAGTACCTCTTGTCTGAAAGAAAATATGACGTCTTCAGAATATTCTTGCTTGGAAAAAATTTTGATAGCAACATCCTGCAATAACAAACAGATGGACAATATGATCATGCATGAAACACAAGTAATCTGACATCAACTTCTTTGAAGCACTTGCAATGAAGACGTTCAAAGATGAATGAATACAAAGAATATAGAAATATAGACCTATATCTCACGCCAATCCAAATCTACAGTGATAAAATGTGAGACACATGAGGGATCCCATGTTCAAATTGTAAAAACTAATTTTATCCTTATAAGCCAATTTTAGAAGCATTCTTAATATTGATCCTATTATCTCCAAGTCTAGGTTATGTGGCACTCCAAGACAAAGGCTTTGATAGATTGGTGGCTTATTGAAGGATTAACATGAAATTGCTCATATTTGAAGGTTACTAAGGCCATGATTACAGCACAATACTCAAATATCATGTCATTTTTTTGTATTAAATTATTCAATTTATCAGACAAATTGACCAGTCTGTAATAAACTTCCCATTAAAACATTTAACAATTTAATAAAATAAAACCAAGTGAAGAGTCAATAGGAACATACCGATCCATACCACAGACCATGATACACGGTTCCACAGGAACCTGCACACAAGTTAAAACAAGATAGGTGTAAGAAGGCTAAGAATAAATGTCAAAGTAACATTTCGAGAGTTTTCTTTTCTGGGGAAGAAAGTTAAATACTGAGACTAAAAGCAATATAGATGGTTACACAATTCTCAAATGGATCATGGCTGATCATAAAAGGCTAAACGTTCCTCAACATAAAAATGAATGTCGCATATACAATGTACAAGTTCCCAATTCCCCCCCCCCTTCAGAAAGTTAACATGTAAGAAACTATAACATCACAAGGCCCTCTAGTGCATAAGAGTTTCTGATACTTTAAAAAATACGAGTATACATATGGAGAAGGAAAAGGAAAAGGTTTGGATGAGCATCATAGACAAACAATACAAATAGAATGCTAGATGAATTGATGTATCCTAATTAAATCAATTAAACATAACATTCCACCATCTAACCAATCAATTTGTATATATATCTGATATATATACCAATTGACTGTCATTGTCTCAACACTGCTCTATGCACTAGTATCCTGTGTTGAAAGTACCTGTTTCATGCATGTCATGAAACACAGGGATTCTTGTGGTTTAAAACCAAACTAAGAGGTAAATATATCATTTCAGATAAAACAAAACATAGTGCACATAAAAGTATTGTCACGCCGATTCAAATCTTCAACTCGTCTCTTTATTGGCATAAAACACATCAAGAATGGAAATAAATACAAAAAAACAGGTTATATGGTCCTCCTGTGGTGCTACGTGCTTACAACCTAGGTCTGAAGTTCAGAATTTAGATGAAAAGTGCTAATTGAAGAAAACAGACTATAACCCAACGCACTTAACGTAAAAAAGGAAAGAAAAAAAAAAAGCAAAGTAATATCAAAAACCAAACCAATCACTCTGCCACAAGACAACCCAAAACTCTTATAACTAATCCATATCACAGAGGCTTTTCCAAGGGGTAGTTAACAAATATTGCTACAAAACAAGGGATCGTAAAAGGTCATTTCTAGATCTCTCTCATGCAAGGGAAGAAGATCTTATCTCCTACACAGGATTCAAACAGACCAAGGTGAACAAACTCAGAAATGAGCAGGGGACTGGATGACTGGTTTGACTCCAGTGATTAAGAGCGCAAAAAATTGTCAAGTGTGGTAGAGCTATATGGTATATACTGAGGTGTACAAAGCTCCAACAAATTGATCATAATGAGACAAGCACAGTTTAGATTTGAGCCAAATTAGTGAAGCTAAGAACAAAGTAGTGAAATATGGTGCACAAGAGCAGAAATAAGGGGTGGAAGTCACGATTATCCATACCTTGCCCTATTTGCTCTCCAATTGTCAAATCCTCCCATGATATTTCATAGTCTAAGCAATCAGTATCAACATCCAATCTATTTACAATGCTGCTACTTCCACTTCCACAGCTACTTGCACTGCTTGTACTGTTTATATTAAAGGATGACCAGGACCCAGTGGCCTCATTACCAGCAGGCCGATTATATTCGCCGGTATGGCTTTCGGATTTTGCAGCAGAATGTAAACGATCAGAATCCAGTTCGCCTTGAATCCAAGGCCAACCAAATTGCCCACTCTTGGTGTCTGATGTTTCCTTTTCATTTCCTTTCCACGGCCACTGCATTGCTTTCTTACCAATCCAAGCCTCGGCTTTGGAAGTTATCATTTTGTGAATAGCAGATTTACCCTCATTTTCTTCACTAGCTTCTTTCTGAGCTTTGACAGGAGACTTTCCACCAGCAAACTGAGAAAAAACACCAAGAGCGGAGCCTACAGAATCCCCTCTGGGTGTACTCGCTCCACTAGAGTTTCCATCATCTTTTTGATCCGAGAACGCAGCATCAGAAAACCCATGATCAGAGTGACGACTATCTCCACTCCCACCTTCTCGGAGTACATTATTCTCTCCAGTCTTTATTTTAGATCGAACCTTGTCACTAACCTTTGAGGCCTATATAATTTTGTATCAGACAATCAACAATGGGCTCATAGAGTAATTCACAAAATTGATTCATTAAGATTATTTGCTACAGTATTTGTTTTCAAAAACAAAACAAAAAAAAAAAAGAAAAGAAAAGAAGAGTATCTGCTTCTTAACCAAAATACTACATCAAGTAACTTACCAAGTTTGTTATCTTTGAAGCAATAGCTGTTTGCAAAGGCTGCTCAGTATCGAGGCCAAGCCTGGTCGCAACACTATTTTTGGGCTTGCTAGAATTTAGACTAGCCTCCTGCTGTTCCTTTGCTTCTGAAGTCGAAACTTTCATTTCCAGATATGGTTTTGAGTCACTTGATACACAAATAACCCCAATGAGAGTACCATCGTCATCATAAAATGGAGTGTTGGTTGCAACAACTAGAAACTTGTGTCCCTTCTTATCTACGACAGGGAACTGCCCGGTCCAACTCTCTCCCAATTTTACACGATTTATAATATTACCAGCAACACCTGTATCTTGATCATCAACTAGTAGGCCACATAGATCCTTACCAAGGGCTTCTGCTGCAGAATAACCATAAAGTTCTTCAGCAGAACGATTCCTGCATTATTAACTTAGCAATTGGCATTCAAAGGAACATGGAAAACAATGTTGATTGATAAGGCAAAAAAAAGCTTAACAGGAAACAAGAAAATAACCCTCACATTATATTTAAATCATAGACCAAGCTACTAACAGCCCATAAAGCCATAATAACATTAGGCAAAACAAATTGACTATTCCACTCTCAGCTACTCTCTTAATGGACTTCAGGTTTTAACTTTCAAAACTTCAAGGCTTTCTTTATTCATGCTTGAACAATTTTTTAAAATAAACTAAGGCAGGATAAGTCAAAGCAACTTTAATCCAGGGCACATTAACAGAACCACCAGCACTGTTCTTCATAGAATTATACATAGAACTATTGAGAAATACTCTATTTTTTTGTTCAGGATTGGAATCTATTAAAGTCTGAAACTGACCCAACAAAGTGTATGGCCTTTATGAACACAGATGCAATAATTGACTCAGCAGCCGAATAAAATGTGGCTTCTTTCATTTGTGCTGCAGCTGAGGAATTTTAGTTGGAAAACTTCTTAGCAAACCAATTGGTTGAGGAGCAAACTAATGTCATATCAATCGTTGCTTGCATAAGTTCAACATGATGATATTGTCTGAGAAACCTAGACCCCTCATTAATCAACAAACTTCATAGGATCCCTGATTCCAGATTTCCAACTCCAATTTGACACAAGAGTAACTACAAAACTCAGTAGCCTAGCTAAGTATATAATACAGCAAATTCATATCTATCAAAGAATTGAGGCATTTATGGATTAAATGCAATACTTATCTAAAACAACTACAACGACTTAACACACGCAATATAACTCTGGGAACAACATAAATTTTACTACTTAACATTCAATTGAGTCAATCATCACACCATCTTGTAAACAACAATATAATATCGAGTTATCGACAACCAAGAGATCAACTTAACATAATCAACTTCGAGAACAATACAATTTCGAGAACCAAAAAACTTATGGCATAATCAACTTAACATACTATGTTGCTTCTTTGAGTATAAGTGTATAACACAATCATATGATGATCTACTGATTTATATACCTGGTAACAAGAGCAATAAACCACTAAACCAAATTCAAAAACCCATATAATCAAAATCCTCAAAAATGCAGTAAAAATTACCAATAAATAATGCGAGTATCAAGATCAAATATATGAACCGCTTGTCCCATAGATTGCAATATATTCAAACACTGCTTATCAGTCAATTTCCGAAGCTCAGTCGAATCACCGCTACCACTACCACTGCTACCAGCGCCAACAGGCGGCGGCAATTCATCAGGGCACCGACTCTCTCGCTGCAACGGCGACGACGAAGACCCCATTGACACAGACGTTGAAGAATGCCCAAACGACATCGACCCTTTCTTCCACTCACTCTCTCTCCTCCGGTGAAGCGGCACCGGCGCCGGCAACCTCGAGCGTTGAGGGGAAACAGAGTGGGCCCTCCTTTGACGAACCCCATCTGCTAGAATCAACTTCGACATCTCTTCTCGAAGGTGAGCATGCCCCTCTTCTAGGTCTTGGATCTTCCTCAGTAACTCCTCTGCTGGTGGAGTTTCCATGGCCAAAAATTGGGGATTTATAATGGGTTTTTGTTCAATTTTTGTGGGGTTTTTTCAGATTTGATTATGAGAGTGAGAAATTCATGGGTTTATGGATCTCCCCCTCTCTGCAAATTTTCTGTGGTTTTTTTTTAAAACACACTTAATTGAGAAGAAGCACTGAAAAAGAAGAAGAAAAAATGGAGGAGAGAGAAAGATGAAGGTCAAAGTGCAGAGGCTACCTCTTCTCCCCTTCACCCTTCGTGCAAGTTTTGCTTTTTTTTTCTTTTTTGGATTATATTTTATGTACAAGTGACATAATATATGTTACTTCTAATTTTAAAATAACTTGGATTAAGGCATCATAATTAACAAAAACAAATCGTCTTAAGGTGAATATTGAAGACAATCAATACGATGCATAAACAACTACACCTTGTATTGCAAAGAGGGGGTAAATGAGTGGTCTGCGAAAATGGTGACTTGGTGAGAAACAGAGAGTAGTAGCGGGTTTGATTAGGGAGAAAGAGGGAAGCCAATATTGTTAGAACTCTTATTAGGAGGGGTAGGGCCATGGGTGCTTGGCCAAGGTGAATACTCTAAACTACCGTAAAATAAAGTGAGTGGAGTCCACTAGATTAGGTTTGACTAAAGATGACATTAGGTCGGATTTATGTAATGACATAGATAGTTAGGCACATAATAAGCATATCGTATTACTTAGTGTGTTTGTCTTGACATAATCCACTTTTTCATAATAATAATAATAATAAATAAATAAAATAAAATAAATAAATAAAATAAAATAAATAAAAATAAAAAAAGTGCATGTTAAAACATGTCAATATTAAAAGAAATTGATTTAGGCATGCAAGCACGACATGACACGACACGATAACTTTTGGCTTTGAATTGTGTTTGGGATTATCTATTATAATTTAAGTTTCTCAAGGCTAACGAGATCAGCCATCATGCACCACCTTTAAGTTTGACCTCTTTGAATTTCCTCCTAAAGTCCTAATCACATTTGTAAAACTAAATAAATGATCAATCATAACCTCTACGTATATTGGAACTTTAAGCACTTGTCTTAGTACGAATATTACTAATCAAAGATGTACTTCTTTATTTATAATTTATTAATTGCAATAGCTAGGTATGCACATAGCCGCATAGGTGCAAGAGCCAAAGTAAAAATCTTACACAAAGTAACACAAAATATATGGAGCGACATAGGGTTATTTATTTGTTAATGAGAAAGTTGATATAAGTGGGGTTAGTGGAAGAAAAATAATAAAATTTTAGTGAATCATGATAGAAAATATTGCTAACCTTGAAATTAATTAAAATCGAAGTAATTCCGATTCCAAATGAGAATCTTTAATTTATTGATTAATTTCTAAATAAAAATCTCTAATACTAGGTATATAATACGCCTAATACTAATAAGGGTTTTTTTTTTCAATAATACATATAGCCGATAATGGCTCAAGAAGTACATGTATTTTTTTTCTTTTTAGGATATTGTTTACTTATAGGTAATTTGATGAAGTCATACATGTGTTTTGTTAAGCTTATTTTTAACTTAACATGTGTTGATAGTTGGGTTTTTTTTTTTCATTAAACTCAAGCTTTATCTAATTCAACTTATTTTGCAAGCGTGAGGTTATTTGAATTTATACAAGTACAAGTAAAAAACTTTTTTTTTGTGTCAAAAACAAAATATATATGTTTTCTTATTTTGGTCATGGTAAATGTTTCCTTGAAAAAACTTCAACCTATACTTTATAATCTCGTGAATGGAGGAAAGGTGGTGGCCTCTATATGTACATAGCACAATAATTCAACTTGATCATGAATTTCCCACAATGGTATTCTTCAAAGTGTGAGGAACATCGTTCCTTTCAAAGTGCTTCCCACTTCATTAGATATCATTAACAATTAAGCTGTATAATTCATATTTAATAGTAGTTGCCAATTTATCGAGCTAAACCATCAAAAATCCAGCCTGATTATTACCAGGCCAATGCTGGATAGTTCGTTGTAGTTTGGTGGTGATGGTTATTATCCCGTTATGCCTCAGAAATTATAAAGAGCCTATATGCGAGATTGTCTCACACTGATTTATTTTGTGACTTTAAGCATGTTATCTTTAAAGTAAATATACAAATTTATAATTAATCTGAATTTTTCAATAATTTATTGTAAGAACGGAACATACAAAGTCTCTTGCCATAACGAAAAGGATAAAATCATCCATGGAAAAGCTAACAAATATTCCAAGTCAACACCTATATAAATAAACAATTCTATCAACTAAAGTAGGATAGAGGGGCAGCAACTAAGACATCAGCTATAAAATCAGCATTATCAAGATATTTATGTAGCATATTAATATATTATTAAATAGGAGCTCAATTACATACTTCATCTGCTCTTTAAATATTACAAGTTTACAACGTTGATATTTTCTTTTATGACAACATTGATATTTTCTTATGAAAGTATTAAAATTCTTTCAAATTTGCACATAATTTCTCTCGATCTCTTCCTCATTACGTGAGTACATTTTTATTGTTCTCTTCATCCCGATGATCACCACATGATCTCCTAAAATAATATTTTGCATCTCATACATGTTACAATAATTAAGGATCCACGGAAGTAGGTTACATACCCTTTGTCACAAAAAAATCATGAAGCAAATTCTTAAAAATTGAAGTCCTTCGGAAAATGGAAAAGGAGTAGTCAGACAAGCTTTGATTTAGTTAATCTTTGTTATTTTGCTTTGCTACCTAATTGTACATCAGACATACATAGCCTTACAAAAAGGCAATGGACAACTTGCCAAAAAATATTAGCTGCCTACAATACTTGATAGATAACATCCACATCAACTTGTTAGAGATATGCTGTCAGCCTGTCACACAAATTTGTAGTTAAAATGACAGTTCATTAATATCATATGCAATCAGACTTAGTCTTGAGAGAAGACGACCCTTAAAAAATTATCGTATGCAACAAAACAATGATCCTACATTTAGTTCTATCAAAAAAGTTTATTGCAACTAGAGGAAAGTGTAAATACATTTGGCTACTTACATAGTTACATCAGGTGCAAGTGTGCAACCAGCATAGCATGACTCAGTAAGATAGATTGACAATATAATAGACTTGATTGTGCAAGATCACCATGCTTTGTCGCATCAAATGCGGCAAACGTACTTCAATTAGATTAATTACATTTGGTTCTCGAATTTGCTCGAAAAGATTATTTGCATCTGGAGGATAGTGACTAAGCCACTTTCAACTAATACAACAATCTTAAATAAATATCCTAACTCAGATACATGGACCATTCATACAATATTTTTATTTATACACTGCTTACAGGCGAGGAAATGCTAATCACTCAATCTAAGATTTAAGTACAACAAAATACAGCTAATGCCGGTTAGGTTAATACTATGGCCTCATGATAGTCATAACTGAGTCATAAGTAATTCAATACTTCTGCCGGATAAGTTGAAGCTACCCACTGGCAAGTATGTTTGATAGAAATATAGTTTGGTTCATGTGCAAGGTCCCGCCACCCTCTTGGAGACAACCAAAAAATGGGATGGTTCTTGGTTAATCTCCGAGCATAACTTTTGGCAGTGTGAGATGAGCAGACTAGTCGACACCCTTCAGGCCCCTCCAAGGCATGGGAAATTCAAGGATGATGAGAAAGTAACTTCTTTCGGACTCCCTGATGTATTGAACCTCACCGTTCATAATCTTCAGAATCTTTCGGCACATGCTCAGCCCAATGCCTTCCTTAGTTTCCCAATTACTGTTGCGGAACATGTCTTGGACCAAATCTGGAGGTAGGCCTTCACCAGGGCACACCAACCTTTTTAACAGACAGTAAAAAAAAAAATCAATTGAGTTTGATACAAAAGTTCCTAACAGTTTGCTCGTACAATTTGCTCATATGAAAAACTGAAAACTATGTGAATAAAAGAAATGTCTGTAAAATTTTAAGGGTTATATGACAATCACAAAAACTGTAACTGTTCATTTTAGTCTACCATATCTCAAATGCTACTTCCAGTAATAGCATTAAACTTGTATGACAATACTAGCATCATGAGAAGAAGCAACACGACTTTCTCACAGAATCACAACAAATTAAGGATCTCTGTCAACAGCCAATTTGGTATGGCACTATATGATGTTCCAAATTACTTGTTAACTCCACTTTTTTTACATTGGTAAATATTATATTCCTGACTTAACACTGACAATTTTAACGTCTAAGAAAATTGAGTTTTGGCCCCCCTTTCTTCCATCACTACTCTATAGGGGATAAACACACACACACACACACACACACACATACACACACACACACACACACACAAAAAAAAAAAAAATAACAAAATCGAAATTCAACCCACAGATCAAGATGTGACAAGGTTAGCCAGCATTGGCCCAGACAAATTTGCTTTAAAAGAGCTGACTGATGAAGTGAGAATGGATTAAAAGATCATAAATTTATGTTATTAATGCTCCAAGGCATGCCTAAACAATATGACATCAGGATCATCTTTGTTATAAGCAAATGGTCTCATATCCAAGAAGTCAAAGTTTGAAATTCAGGAGCCAACTTTAATCAAGCACCTTTATCCCTGGTGCAGGGTGATTTTCCCATTGATTTATTGGTAGCTAGAATAATAACCTATGTGTGGAAAATTTTCTGAATGGTGTTCACTCAAAGGGATGCATATTGTTTTTCAAATGAAAAGGTCGGGGCCAATAATCATCAACAAACGGAAGATCATGGAAAGAAATGACCATGTGAGTGAGATTTGCCTATGTATATATGCAGACAAAATTTGGGAAGTTCCACAACTGGAAGTAAACTCCTTAAACCATAGTTTTGTTCTCTGTAAATCTAGTAAAGTACTACCGTCATTGCACGTATAACTTAAAATATATTTCTACTTGACTCAAGTAACTGTGTTAGCATGATCATTAACCCTTTTTCACATTTGTCACAGAAGGCTTTTCTCATACATGCCCGTAAATGTTCCTTGCATTACCAATTTATTTATGACACAATACACTATTGAGTTTTGAGCAGCTAAATAGCTAATGATGAGAAACTTCCAGCTTCATCAATATTTCATGAATACAGTAAAACAGCCCACATTTAACGGTTATAAGAAGGCCTAAAGCATCTCCTCAGACATAAATAAGTGACTCTAAAGAGTATGCCTCCAAGGATACTGGGTTACATCTTCCAGGGCTAATATCTATGTCCACAGCAGGCGGGTGGTTCCACCACAA